CCAATTTAAGAAGTCCCATTTGACATGTGTTTAGGGGGAGTGATTCCCGCAAAGTACATTGAAATTTTATCGGGTGCAAGTCCAGTTGTTACATTTAACGATGTATATTGTACATTGGTGTATATAAGAATTTTGTGCCTTGACAGTTGGTAGATGAAAGAGAGAAACTTCAAAAAAAACATCTAGTCCGCTGACACACCTCGACTTCGATGTTCAGTGGGCAGCAAAATCAAGATGTGCTGACCATTACTCGGATTGGTGATGAATCTATAATATGGATGAAGTCACAACTCAAGTGTTCAACTATTAAAACCTACTGAAAATGTGGCAAAACTTCCCCTAAAATAGGTAAGCCCAAATGAAAACTGTAGACATCGAAATTTCGTAAATAAATATTGACCGATAAATCAAAGTGTCAACGCTCATGTATTACATAAATTTTACACGTAGCGTGTGACTCAACGAAAATTGAAATAAGTTAGAAAAGTCATCAAATAGGACACGTGTCAACACCTGGCAGAAACGACTTATTTCATCTGGGATATTATATTCAAAATTAGGCCTTGGAAAATTCTATAAATACAAGCACATTTCATTCATTCAGGGGAACCAAAATCATTAGGCAAAATTCTTGAAGCTCTGAAGCTCTGAAACTCCGAAGCTCTCAAGCATCCAGGTTCCCGAAGAATCAAGAAAGCGTTCTTCGTTCTTCGTTCATCGTTCTTCCAAGATCAAGCCCCGACAGCCCTTGGATCAACCATCCACCAATTCAAGATCAAGCCCCGACGACCCTTGAAGAAAGCACCATCGTTCATCATCCGTTCATCCAAGATCAAGCCCCAACGGCCCTTTGGATCAACAACGTCGACAAATCCACACACCCAACTGTTCTTCAAGATCAAGCCCAAAAGCCCTTGAAGATCCGTTCATCACTGTTCTTCAAGATCAAGCCCAAAAGCCCTTGGAGGTCCGTTCATCACTGTTCTTCAAAGATCAAGCCCAAAAGCCCCTTTGAAGATCCGCTCAAATCCACCTTCAAGATCAAATCCACGGCCCTTGAAGAACATTCATCCTTAGATCAAGCCCAACGACCCTTTGGGTCAATCACACATCCACAAATACACAACTTACGGAGATCGAATCAGAGGATCAAAATAGAGAGAGATTGTAACCCAAAATCATCAAATACAAATATTTTGTTTGTGCCCGTTGTTCTTGTCCCTTTCGTTTCAGGAATTTTCCGTGTTCACAAATTGGCACGCCCAGTGGGACAATCTCTGCCTCTCATCTCTTTCTCCGTTCAAGAAATTCTAGCGTACTTCCAAAATTAATGGCATCAAGGAAGGCTCAAACTGTTCCCGCAACCGGCGCAAAGAACAAAAGCGTCATCGCCGCAACTGGTGTCACTTTGGGCATCACGACTCGAAGCATGGCAAGAGCTACTTCTGCTCTTTCACCTCTGCATCAACTCTGCCAAGGGAACAAAAGCACCCAAGGCACGAGCCTTTGATCACCTTAGCCTCACTAAGGGCACCAAGGGGGGAAAGCCCAAGGAAATACTCTGAATCCATGCTCTCTGATGCTGATTCAAGCGCCATGCAAGTCATGACCATTGGAGCAACTTCAATCGATGAGCAGCTGGCTCAAATGAATGAAGCAATCGCAAGGCTAACCCGAACTGTGGAAGAAAAAGACTTGCAAATTGCAGCACTAGTCAACCGACTGGAGGCGCAGGACAGCGATAAACCCGACCCAGTGGATGATCCACTAAAGGGAGGAGCTGGCGAAGACGAAGAACCCCCGGTGAAGAAAATCGATGGGAAGCCGGAGCCAGACCAAGCAGCGGCACTCATGGGATCTCTTTCTATCCAGCAGCTGCAGGAGATGATCACCAACACCATCAAGGCACAGTACGAAGGGAGCTCACATACCTCATTGTTCTACTCGAAGCCCTATTCCAAGAAGATTGATGCCCTAAGGATGCCGAGGGGTTATCAACCACCAAAGTTCATGCAATTTGATGGAAAGGGAAACCCGAAACAGCACGTTGCCCACTTCGTTGAAACCTGCAACAACGCAGGAACCGAAGGGGATTACCTAGCCAAGCAGTTTGTGCGCTCGCTGAAAGGAAACGCATTTGAGTGGTACACGAATCTGGAGCCTGAGTCCATCAACAGTTGGGAGCAATTAGAGCGGGAATTCCTCAACCGCTTCTATAGTACCCGCCGCACTGTGAGCATGCTAGAGTTAACGAGCACAAAGCAGTGGAAGGACGAGCCAGTCATTGACTACATCAACAGATGGCGCACTCTAAGCCTCGACTGTAAAGACAGGCTCTCGGAAACCTCTTCAATTGAGATGTGCATCCAAGGCATGCAATGGGGTTTGCAATACATCATTCAAGGCATTAAACCGCGGACCTTCGAGGAATTGGCCACTCGCGCCCATGACATGGAGTTGAGCATCGCCCATCATGGGAAGAAAGAACCGATCGCCGACTATAAGAACGACAAAGTTCTTGGGACAAAGGTGGAAAAGGCTGCATGGAAACCCACCAAGGAAGCGATGACGGTCAACACATCTCCCGTCAAAATATCCACACGAGGCAAGGCGATTCAAACCGAAGCTTTTCGTGATCAAGAGATGCGTAGACGCACTTTGAAGGAGCTTGAGGAGAAGACTTATCCATTCCCCGACTCTGATGTGGTTGCCATGTTAGATGACCTGTTGGACAAGAAGGTGATCAGTTTGCCTGAGTGCAGACGGCCGGAAGAGATGAATCGTACCGACAGTCCAAGATACTGTAAATTCCACCGCTTCATCAGTCATCCGACAGAAAAATGTTTCGTGCTGAAAGATCTCATCATGAAGCTGGCTCAAAAATGAATCATCGAGCTAGATCTTGACGATATGGTGGAGTCAAACTATACCACATCCACTTTTGGCTCTTCCGACTCAAAGTTTTCACCTCAACCGCTGGGGGCATCCTCCAAGACAAGCAAAATTGAAGGATGGACTCAAGTCACTCCTAAGAAATTGCACAAGAAGCATACGTCTCCTCCACAAGTCCGCCAATCGAAAAGGGGGCAAAGCAGCTCTTGTCAACCTTCAAAGCAACGTGAACATGTTGAAGATGATAAAATTGCGACACAAAGATCGTCTGTTGCCATCACGATGCGTGATTTCTTGCCCGAAGACTTCTTCAATCACTCGGTCAAGGCTCCTTGCTATGAAGATTGTGAGGAACGCCTCGCCAAAATTGCTTGACAAATTCACCAATGCTCCTTGTTCGCACGAGCCTAAACTGCACGAACCAAGGCTCCTCGCCTGCACGAGCCTAAACTGCATGGCACAACGCTCCTGATTTGCACGAGCATAAAAGGCGACATCAACGCTCCTGATCCGCACGAGCATAAAAGGCAACACCAAATGCTCCTTGTCTGCACGAGTTGAAACTGCAAACGACACCAAACGCTCCTTGCCTGCACGAGCTGAAACTGCAACACGGCACCAAATGCTCCTTGTCTGCACGAGTTGAAACTACAAACGACACCAACACTCCTTGTCTGCACGAGTTGAAACTGCAAACGGCACGAAAAAAAATAACAAAAAAAAAATGTATGTATTTGAACTACGTTTTGACTTGATCTCTTTCTTTGGAAGGATACGTAGGCAGCTCGAGCATTCAAAATTTCGAGTTCAGTCACATCAAAATATAAATAAATGTTTTATTAAAGAAAGTCAATTTTATTTAAAAAAAAATCCAAAAAAATGTATTTGAACTACCTTTTGACTTGATCTATTTCTTTAGAAGGGTACGTAAGCAGCTCGAGCATTCAATTTTGAGTTCAGTCACATCAAAAAAAAAATTGGGGTTTGATTAAAGTATTATTGATGAAGGTCAATTTTATTACAAATTTACTTGCAATTTTCTTTGTACAAAATTAAATTACAGTTTCTTAAAAAAAAAAAAAAAAAAAACAGAAGCAAAAAAAAAAAAAAATGAATACATATGTTATTTAAAAAAAAAAGGAAGAAATATATATATATACATATAGGCCCAGGCCCGGCTCTCAGAAACCAATCCACTCAACTTGCGGCTTGCCTTAGGCCTGCCCTCCAAAACATGGGTCACAACCCATTCTTCTAGCCCAAGTTCCTCGTCAAACGTCTTCACCAAAAAGAAGACCTCTAGATAGGATAGAATGAAGAAACCCACTCTCAGCAATCCCTTGGGCTGCGCAGCCAGCGGCGGACGAGCAGTATTTGAGAGTAGCCGTCACCATCTCTCTTCTCCGATCAAAATTTCTCCAAGATTAGGTTCGTCCCCCAGAACCTCTTCCTCTTTTACAATTTGATCAGGACTTCCGCCCATATCTCCTTCAACATGACTTGTTGCAACGTCGACTGATCTGCCTCATCGTCGAGAAGCTGCCGCTGACAAGGAGCTTGGACACGGCTTTAAGGATGCTCATCGGAGCAGTGAGGTTGCCAAGGTAGTTAACGGGTATGATGATAGCCGCGACAGATGTGAATAAAGCGGTACAGCCAGCCAAGGGTGACAGGGATTTGCTGAGGATCTTCTCTCGGTCAGAGCTCCGCAAAGCCTTCAAAGAAAATGATAGATCTGCTCTCGTCTTCTCTCATCCACTTTCATGTCCTTCTGCGACTCAGATCAAGCTCATCAAAATCTTCCATCTGCCCAACATCCGCTTCTTACTCGCCCAAGTAACAATCTGCAGTTTCAGAGATTTGGCCAGCTTTAGAGCATAATTAACCACTGTTGGTTTCTCGTCAAATAGGTTGTACAATTGGAGCATGAAGTTCGCATCCAAGGCCTCATCCGGTTCCAATTAGAAGCACGACTCGTCAAGCTCGTTTGCTGGAGTCAGAATTAATTCGAACTCGAAGTGCAGCTCCAGAAGCTTTGCGAAACTCTCAGAGTCGATTTCTAGTGGTGAATAGTGAGGTCAATAGAGAAATTGCAGAAGAACAAAATATCGACAGAAAAAATTCGTTCACAAATGGTGGCGATTTCGTTGTACAAAGGAAATCTCCTTAGAGTTCCCTCCCTTAAGGACTTCAAATCCCTTTTAACCCGCCGCTCTGTAGCTCTCTTTCTCCTCTGCTCTGGCCTCCCCGCCGCCATCTCTCTAACCCTAAGCCTGATTTTATCCCGCGCTAGCTCAGCAAAGCTCCGAAGGCGGGAAATTTGTCTAACCCCACGATTAAATTCGAAGCGCCGGAGAATGTTGCTACTGATTGTGAAGCTGGGCCGTCCGGGGAGAAGAAGGATGGGAAGCAATTGGACAGTGCTGGTTTTGCGGTGAAATCCGGTGGTGAGTCAGATTCGCCGCCTGCTCTTAAGCCCGATTTGATCGAGGAAGGGTTGAATGTAGCAGATGTTGGTGCTAGTTCACTGCCTGTGAAGGTTGAGAAATTGGATGAAGTGGAAAACCCTAAATCTGAGAGATGCAACAAAGAAGAGGAGTTAAGTGATAAGCAAAAAAAAAAAGGAAGAGAGAAGTTGAGGAGAAGCTGCAGGTTTTGAATCAGAAGAAACATAATCTAGTTCAAGTGTTGAAGCAAATCTTAAATGCAGAGGAAGAATTAAAGAGACGAAATTGTATGCAAGGAGTGGTGGTTCGCCCGTCTGTATCACCTCAAGTTGATGTAACAAATGACTCCGGTTCAATGACTAGGCATGCTGCTGCTAGGTGGGCTCAGAGGCGAATCTTGAGATGGAAGAGGTTGAGGGCGATGAGCTTTCAAATCATAACTTTCATTCTCGCCATGTATTCCGGATGAACAGCACATCCCCATCTTCAGAGTCTCCTCTCAGAAGGCCAGCTCATATTCAGCACCAAGACTCCTCCCTCGAGCTCGACCACGTGCCCTCCATTGCAGAAACACCAATGCTCCGGAGCCCTCTCCAACTCCCCATCCTCTCCTCCTTGCTCCGCCATGGTTGCAGCCTTTGAATGAGATTGACAAAACCAAAGTTTGACAATCCACACCCAAAGACCTCCTCCGTCTCTTGCCTCGCAGTTGCCAACAACTTCAAAGACCGCTGTCAAACGACTAGCCGGCCGAGAAAGGCTTCCTCAAACTCCAACTCTCCGTCCGTCTTCGTCCGCTCCCTGCAAATTCCTCTGCCCACCACCCAAATTTATACAGAAAAATATATTAAAAAAAAAAAAAAAAAAAAGATGGTGGAGCAAAGTGGTGCTGGCACCACGTGAAAAAAGAAAAGAAAAGGGGAATGGTGGATCAGCACCATGTGAAAGAAAAAAAATATATAAAAATAAAAAAAATTAAAAAAAAATTAAAAAACAAATATATATATATATATATAATATATATAAATAAAAAAAAGGAGAGAAGGTGGATTCTTGGTGGCTAGCACCATGCAAAGGGGAAGGGTTTTGGAATGGTGGATCAGTCCACGTGAAAAAAAATATACATATACATACATAATATATGTATGTATATAGCAAAAAAAAAAAAAAAAAAACAAATGCATTGAGAGAAATAGAAGTCCATTTATTATTTTTCTTGAAATTTTACATAATTTGCATTATACATACCTTTAAAAAAAACAAATAATCAAATTTACTGAGTAATCAACTCCTTTCTTCAATGAGGAGTTCTCCATACTTATTAATTACTTTTTTAAAAAAAAGGGAAAAAAAAGACTTAAGGTTAATGTAAAAATGTACCGACTGTCAATTTCAGCCTGAGGCTGCCTGCAGGTTCAATAGAGTTCAACACTCAACTCTTTGGTACTAAATTGGAGGACTCAAGCTTGACAAGTGAGGAATATAAGGAGGCAGTTCTGGCAGCTAAAGAACACACTCTAGCTGGGGATCTATTTCAGACTGTATTAAGCCAGCGTTTTGAGAGGCGAACATTTGCAGACCCATTTGAAATTTACCGAGCATTAAGGATAGTTAATCCAAGTCCGTATATGACTTATTTACAGGTTTGCCTCGTTTTCAGTGAGTCATTGGTTCCAAATTCCAATCTACTTGTTCACCTTGTAATTCTGAGATTATATGAGTATATACTTCCATAATCAGGCTAGAGGCTGTATTCTTGTTGCTTCAAGTCCAGAAATTCTGACACGTGTGAAGAAGGTAAGTAAAGGAAGTCCAAAAAATTTTAACATCTGAGTGTTCGTCTTATTCTGTTGCTAGTTCCTACAAGATGTCCTACCTTTTATGTTTTCTTTGGTCCCTTTTGTTTTCCTACTATAGTGTTGTAATCTTCATTAGCTAAATTGCTGAGCTGTGCGTTTCTTTTTTTTGTTAATAGCAAACGATCACCAACCGGCCTCTTGCTGGGACTGTTAGAAGAGGAAAAACACCTAAAGAAGATTTATTGCTGGAAAAGCAGCTTTTGAATGATGAAAAGCAATGTGCAGAGCATATTATGCTTGTAGACTTGGGGAGGAATGATGTCGGGAAGGTTTATAATCTTTCCTTTCTCCTATTTGTATGATTATTACTGTATGTTGAATTTTATTCTCGAGATTGTTATACCATGCATATGCTAAATTTTATTCTCCCCGGTATCTATTTTCAATCTATGGCAGGTAAAAATATTTCATTAATGTATCTTTCAGCATTAGCATAATAAGTTTACACTTGGTGCCTTGTCTGTTCATGGCTTACATGACTACTGTTTCTTATATTTAGAAGATTTTAATCATGATCTGTTTTTTCTTAAGTATATTGTGGCCATAATAACGCGATTAATAATTTGCTCATGCAGGTCTCAAAACCTGGTTCTGTCAAGGTTGAGAAGCTCATGAACATTGAGCGTTATTCCCATGTCATGCACATAAGTTCAACAGTAAGTATCTCCTTTTGGTAATACACATAATAAGTAAAGTAATATCTATAACGATTGATGATACATCCGGGCATCTGTAGACATTAGTTTCAGAATTTTTCCTCATGGGGTCTATATCTACTTTCATCAGTGTGACGTACTCAACCACCAATTGAATTAAGGGATGAAAGTTTAATGTAATTGTAGGTCACTGGAGAGTTACCTGATGATTTAACTAGCTGGGATGTTCTGCGTACTGCGTTGCCAGTTGGGACTGTCAGTGGAGCACCAAAGGTTTTCTCCACAACAACAACAACAACAACAACAAAGCCTTTTCCCACTAAGTGGGGTCGGCTATATGAATCCTAGAACGCCATTGCGCTCGGTTTTGTGTCATGTCCTCCGTTAGATCCAAGTACTCTAAGTCTTTTCTTAGAGTCTCTTCCAAAATTTTCCTAGGTCTTCCTCTACCCCTTCGGCCCTGAACCTCTGTCCCGTAGTCACATATTCGAACCAGAGCGTCAGTCGGCCTTCTTTGCACATGTCCAAATCACCGGAGCCGATTTTCTCTCATCTTTCCTACAATTTCGGCTACTCCTACTTTACCTCGGATATCCTCATTCCCAATCTTATCCTTTCTTGTGTGCCCACACATCCCACGAAGCATCCTCATCTCCGCTACACCCATTTTGTGTACGTGTTGATGCTTCACCGCCCAACATTCTGTGCCATACAACATCGCTGGCCTTATTGCCTTATTGTCGTCCTATAAAATTTTCCCTTGAGCTTCAGTGGCCTACGACGGTCACACAACACGCTGGATGCACTCTTACACTTCATCCATCCAGCTCGTATTCTATGGTTGAGATCTCCATCTAATTCTCCGTTCTCTTGCAAGATAGATCCTAGGTAGCGAAAACGGTCGCTTTTTGTGATCTTCGTTAGATTGCTCCGGTCATTAGTGTGGATAAGTATATAAATGGATAGAGATAGGAAAGCAAACACAAGATGTACGTGGTTCACCCAGATTGGCTACGTCCACGGAATAAAAGAGTTCTCATTAATTGTGAAGGGTTTACACAAGTACATAGGTTCAAGTTCTCCTTTAGTGAGTACAAGTGAATGATTTAGTACAAATGACATTAGGAAATATTGTGGGAGAATGATCTCGTAATCACGAAACTTCTAAGTATCGGAGTGTGGTGTCGTCTTGACTTGCCTTATCTGTCTCATAGGTAGATGTGGCATCTTCTCTGGAAATACTCTTCCTCCATCCAGGGGTGGTATCTTTAACTGGTGGAGATGCACAAGGTAATGTATCAATTTCACTTGAAGCTTACTTGTAGTTTCAGGCTTGGTCAAACGCGATATAAACCATGTAGTAGGAGTCCCTCAAGTCGCCGAGCTAGGGGGTCTGCTGAAAGAGGTGACAGACAAGGTAAGCAATCAGAGCTCCGACTGATTGTTCACCTACTCCCCATCTTGCAGCAGCATGAAGGATAAAGAGAAGAAAAATGAGAAGAGATGATATGAGATACTTTTGCTTTTGAAGAAGTAACTTTCCACAGGCTTATTCTTGAACTGAGCTGGAGGGTTTTCTGGTTTCCTCTAGAGTATAAGGCCGACTGAAGAATTTGAGGGTCAAAACAAGTCCATCAAATCTAGAGTACGTTCCACCCTGCTGATATGGGATACTTTTGCTTTTGACAGAGTAATGGATGTATCGGCACGTGTGCTGTTACGCTTGTCTCCACATGCTTCCTTGTATCCTTCGCACTTGCCCTATCTGTTCCTCAAGCAGATGCGGAATCTTCCCTGGAAACATAAGATGTTGAAGATGAGTACTCGAGAGCAATGCCAGGTAAGTAATCAGGTAAGGGGTTATAGGCAGTCAGTTCCTGGCTGGGAGCTTGATTCCAAGTGCTGACTGATTGCTTTCTTTCTCCTTGTCTTGCAGGTAAAAACAAGGCCAAAGGAAAAGACAGGGAAAAAGCATGATATGGGATACTCTTGCTTTTAACCCTGATGATATGAGATATTCTTGCTCTAGTATAGCTTGTTTGCAGAGGTATTATCGGGGGGAAAGAAAGCTGAATATTTCGAAAGGCTTCGTTGGGAGTGCCCTCTCAGATATGATGAAGGGTTGAGCATTTTTACAGGTCTGCCTGTCCGTTGGGGATGGGGGTCGACATATATAGGAGTCTCCCTAACAACAAGTAGTAATGCTATTCCTTTACCCTGCTTGGTCATAGCACGGTAGTGGGAGCTGCCAGTTTCACATGTTTTAACTCTGTCAGAGCACTTTTGAAAAAGTGGTCTATGGTATTTGGCTCTCGAGATTCGGAGAACGATGCCTCTTCGATTTTTGAGAAAGCAATCATGCTGGGGGTCTGGCTCTCGAGATTCGGAGAGCAGTGTCTCTTCGATTTTTGAGGAAGTAATCATGTTGGGAGTCTGGCTCTCGAGATTCGGAGGGCGGTGCCTCTTCGATTTTGGAGCAAGCAATCTTGTTGGGAGTGTTGTCTCGAATGTGAGTAAAGGTTGGGCATGTTTGCTAGTCTACCTTGCCACGAAGCACAAAGGTTGACACACAGGGACTTTCCAATTATCCAGCAATGGTACTGTTCCTTTACCCTCTCTTCGATTTTGAGAAAGTAGTCATGTTGGGAGTCTGGCTCTCGAGATTCGGAGGACGGTGCCTCTTCGATTTTGGAGCAAGCAATCTTGTTGGGAGTGTTTTCTCGAATGTGAGTAAAGGTTGGGCATGTTTGCTAGTCTACCTTGCCACGAAGCACAGAGGTTGACACACAGGGACTTTCCAATTATCCAGCAGTGGTACTGTTCCTTTACCCTTGTGGGTAATAATATGGTAGCTAGACCTTCAAAATTTATGTGTCTAAACTTTGTTAGTGCTGTTTCTTTGCTATTCTTTTACCTTTCTTGGTCAGAGCGATGTAGTGGGAGCTGCAAGCTTCACGTGCTCAACTTTGGCAGAGAACTTTGGCAAAGTTATCTGTGGTACCCATGAGCTATTGTTGCGTGTGGGAAGTGGGTGATTGAACAGTAAGATTCATGTGCTTTCTACTTCACTAGAAGTCTTCGACAGAATGCCCATAATTTCCGCAAAGCTGAGTGTGCGTGTGACAGGTGCTGACAAGGCTAGAAAAGTAGGTGCCTCTTCGATTTCTGAGATCGGCCCTCATGGTCTCTGAGCAGCCCAGCTTTTGAGAAAGCGAGCGCCTCTTCGATTGATTCGGAGAACGATGCCTCATCGATTTTTGAGAAAGCAATCATGCTGGGGGTCTGGCTCTCGAAGATTCGGGGAGTAGTGTCTCTTCGATTTTTGAGAAAGTAATCATGTTGGGAGTCTGGCTCTCGAGATTCGGAGGGCGGTGCCTCTTCGATTTTGGAGCAAGCAATCTTGTTGGGAGTGTTTTCTCGAATGTGAGTAAAGGTTGGGCATGTTTGCTAGTCTACCTTGCCACGAAGCACAGAGGTTGACACACAGGGACTTTCCAATTATCCAGCAATGGTACTGTTCCTTTACCCTCTCTTCGATTTTTAAGAAAGTAGTCATGTTGGGAGTCTGGCTCTCGAGATTCGGAGGACGGTGCCTCTTCGATTTTGGAGCAAGCAATCTTATTGGGAGTGTTTTCTCGAATGTGAGTAAAGGTTGGGCATGTTTGCTAGTCTACCTTGCCGCGAAGCACAGAGGTTGACACACAGGGACTTTCCAATTATCCAGCAGTGGTACTGTTCCTTTACCCTTGTGGGTAATAATATGATAGCTAGACCTTCAAAATTTATGGGTCTAAACTTTGTTAGTGCTGTTTCTTTGCTATTCTTTTACCCTTCTTGGTCAGAGCGATGTAGAGGGAGCTGCAAGCTTCACGTGCTCAACTTTGGCAGAGAACTTTGGCAAAGTTATCTGTGGTACCCATGAGCTATTGTTGCGTGTGGGAAGTGGGTGATTGAACAGTAAGATTCATGTGTTTTCTACTTCCCCAGAAGTCTTCGACAGAATGCCCATAATTTTCGCAAAGCTGAGTGTGCGTGTGACAGGTGCTGACAAGGCTGGAAAAGTAGGTGCCTCTTCGATTTCTGAGATCGGCCCTCGTGGTCTCTGGGGAGCCCAGCTTTTGAGAAAGCGAGCGCCTCTTCGATTTCTGAGATCGGCCTTCGTGGTCTTTGAGCAGCCCAACTTTTGAGAAAGCAAACGCCTCTTCGATTTCTGAGATCAACCCTCGAGGTCTCTAAGCAGCCCAGCTTTTGAGAAAGCAAACGCTTCTTCGATTTCTGAGCAGGCGCCTCTTCGATTTCTGAAGCTCCGTCGAGTGTAGATTTTTATAGGGGCTAACATTAAGTTCCAAAGCACACTTGAATCTCCACCAGTAGAAGCTTCATTCTTGCACTTCTAAGATCTTGATTTGTCCGACCTCTTCTCTCTTCAACACCTTTGAAAATGTCTGGCCCCTCCGACCGTCGTTTTGACTTGAACCTTGTTGAAGAGGCAGTCCCGCCTTCTCCAGACAACATATGGCGCCCATCCTTCGTCTCCCCTACTGGTCCTCTTATCGTTGGGGATTCCGTAATGAAGAATGATATGACCGCTGCGGTGGTGGCCAGGAACCTTCTCACTCCCAAAGATAACAGACTACTTTCCAAACGGTCTGATGAGTTAGCTGTTAAGGATTCGCTGGCTCTCAGTGTTCAGTGTGCAGGTTCTGTGTCTAATATGGCCCAACGCCTATTTGCTCGAACCCGCCAAGTTAAATCATTGGCGGCTGAAGTGATGAGTCTCAAACAGGAGATTAGAGGGCTCAAGCATGAGAATAAACAGTTGCACCGGCTCGCACATGACTATGCTACAAACATGAAGAGGAAGCTTAACCAGATGAAGGAAACTGATGGTCAGGTTTTACTTGATCATCAGAGATTTGTGGGTTTGTTCCAAAGGCATTTATTGCCTTCGTCTTCTGGGACTGTACCGCGTAATGAAGCTCCAAATGATCAACCTATGATGCCTCCTCCTTCTAGGGTTCTGTCCAGTACTGAGGCTCCAAATGATCCCCCTCCGGTGCCTTCTCTTTCTGGGGCTCTACCGACTGCTGAGACTTCTCCTAAGCAACCTTTGTGAAGGCTCCCTCTTGTGTGTTTATTTTGACTCATGTATATGTACATATTTGTAGCTTATCGGGGATATCAATAAATAAGCTTTCCTTCATTTCAAACCAAAGGTTTTCTCCATGAGCCCTTTTTCATTTTTTTCTTTGGAAGAGGTTCAGGGCCGAAGGGGTAGATGAAGACCTAGGAAAACTTTGGAAGAGACTCTAAGAAAAGACTTAAAGTACTTGGATCTAACGGAGGACATGACACAAAACCGAGCGCAATGGCTTTCTAGGATTCATATAGCCGACCCCACTTAGTGGGAAAAGGCTTTGTTGTTGTTGTTGTTGTATTAGTTTATTCAGAGCCTTCTTCCGTACTCACTTTGCTGAACAAGTTTCATCATCTCCTTCTTCTTTAAAAATCACTTCTTCGGCATCTGAGAGTGGCACCTTCAGTGAATCCTACAATTACCCTTCTCATCTCCCATCCATTTTCTTTCCTCTCAACAGGTATTTCTTTTTTCTCATCATTTTTTTCTTGTTTATTTGTATTTATGATTTCGTGTTATGCCTGGATATTTTGTATACAAATCTGGAAATTTTGGTTTATCTTGTTCACTTGTAACATTCTCTACAACTTATGGGTTTAATTACTGCTCGAATTGGTTCAAATGTTACCTGGAGGGGGTTAAAGAATCAAACTTTGGCTAAAGTTGCAGACTTTTGTTTTTTTCGTTTTCATCATTACGGGTTAAATTTTAGCTATTTGTTACAAATTTCGTTAGTAATACTAAAACCTGTCAGTTCTTGATAAACTAGTGTCAAATTAAATAATTGTATAGGTAAGAATCCTAGGTGAAACCTGCCAGTTTTCCTAAACTAATATATAATGCAGTAGTTCTATACGTAAGAATCCCGTGAAAATTTCAAATTCTTTTCACCTTTAATTGTTTATTGGCGAAAGTTGCAAACTTTTCATTTTTGTTGTTAGGGTTTTTGAAACTTTTCATTTATCTTCTCCGGTACTACTCAGACTTTCCGGCAGCCAAAATTTATGTTTAAGAGTTGTTTACTTTTGTTTGCTCATAATTTTCGCGTACATATCATTGCACGACTCCAGACCTACACATGCGAAGCAACTTGAAAACTTTTGTAGCTCCATGCATCCCTGAGGGCATGATGAAATGGTAATCATTTGATTAGACAACGATTAATAGATAATATCATCTTGCAATACTAATTAAATAAGTTGAATTTAGTCCCGTTGAGATTGATTAGTAAACAGAGGGTTTTTGATACTCTGGTCTTACAACATTCATGCATGATCATTGATTCACAGTTCCACAGCAACGAAATTCATCATCCATATTTTACAAACCAAGCGTTTGAATTCAAATTCCACAAAGTACCAAAATCTACCTCTCAATAGACATGATTTGGAAAAAAAAACTTGAAAAAGGAGATTTGGAAACTAGAGGTCGTAATTTCGTAAACTTGTTGAAGCTCCTTTTTCCCCGAGGACTAGTTTGATACAACAAACTGTCGTATAATGAAACCACCATAAGACACAGTAAGAAAAAGGGAGAGTAGAACCAACACTGAAACAATTCCACTCCATTTAACCCATCAGTTTCAAGCCTTCTGAGAGATGGTAGCTGTCCCAAAGCTGCCATTGAAAAACAATATTCACAATCCATAAGTCGAAGAGTAACAAGATGAGAGAACGAACGAGTCATCTCCTAACAGATTTGGAATTTTGTAGCTCCGTATCTTTCTATCACAAATACTTTCAAGTTTATATGGGACAGGAGTACCTGTAAAATTTGTTTGTTATTACGTGAATATTAACATTTGAAACATGTTTATGATTTAAAATTTACACAGCCAGATCGTAAATAAACACATAAACGAACGTTGACGAATTACTTACCATTGCAAATCATATCTTTCGGTCATTAATCCTTACGTTGGGGATGTGAGAAATCTTGGGCCAATCTTCTCCTGTGTCTCTCTGACACCGTTGTGTTAGCAAATCAGACCCGGTGATATGTAGAAAAGAAAGAGAAGTGGGTAGCCCTTCATCTGGCAAGCTCTGGAGTTGAGGACAATAACAAATATACAACTCCTCGAGAGAGATGATGTGTCTTAACGCCTTGCCGTCAATGGTTTTCAGATTCGGATGATGGGAGATTCCGAGAGAAGTGAGAGTGATTGGCAGCAGCCCCTCTTCTGGAAATGATTCGACAATTTCTTCTTCTTCACATCCTGAGAAGCTGACATCCAAGAATTTGAGAGAGGTGAGTGTTTGTAGACCCCACCGCATACGGTTTGCCATCAGTTTTTTACAACACCAGATAATGAGGTAACGCAATTTGGACGGCAATCCCCCTTCCGGAAATGATTCCAATTCTGGAGAATCCCATATATACAAAGACGAGAGAGACGGGAGAGAGATTTGCATCTCCTCTGGCAGTGACCTGAATTTGTTACATTCGTTGATTTGCATCATCTTCAAGTTGGGCGCTTGCAGTCCTCCTCCATGGGGGAAACCCACAAATTCTTTACACCCTTCTATGGACAGACACTGAAGGGACGGGAGAGAAGCGTGCATCTCCTCTGGCAGTGACCTGAATTTGTTACATTCTTTGATTTGCATCGTCTTCAAGTTGGGCGCTTGCAGTCCTCCCCCATGGGGGAAACCAACAAATTCTGGGCACTCCTTTATCTTCAAATTTTTGAGGGATGGGAATTTAGATTCTTCCGGAAATGATTTAAATTCTTTACACCCTTCTATGGACAGAGACTGAAGAGATGGGAGCGAGATTTGCAGATCTTCTGGCACTGACCACAAGTTGGGCGCAAGCAACACTCCACCACCCACAAAATATACGATTTTAACGTTCTGCAAACTTAGCCGCTCAAGTCTTGGGAAGTAGTCTAACGGTATTTTCCCCGTTAGTTTGGGACAATTCCCCAGACTAAGCTCGCAAAGATTAGGAAAATGTCCGCCTCCAGGGAAACACCACTCTTGCCATTCCCGCATACTGCAGAAACTCAGAAACTCCAGAGATTTAAATGCAGGTTTAATTCCCCCATAAAACTCAGACCCCACTGATTCCACTCCATTCAACCCATCAATTTCAAGCCTTTTGAGAGACGGTAGCTGCCCCAATGCTGGCAGGGAGAAACAATATCCACAAGTCTCAAGTCGGAGAGTGACAAGATTAGAGAAAGACTCATCTCCCAACCAACCTGGAAACTTCGTACCTCCGTATCCTTGTATAGCCAATACTTTTAGGTTTGTATTGGGTTGCAAGTTGCCTAGCACTCGGCTATCGTTTTCAGAATCAATAGTGTCACCTTCCCATTTCAAACGTATTTCACTGAGCTTCTTGTCCCTCAGTTTGGCCTCCAAAGCATCCTCAGCACGTGTGATATTTTGAAGCCCTGAAATATGAAGATTTCCACTCAAATGCTGAAACCCCTTTAACTCATCAATGTTTCCCCCGACATCTTTGCTCAAGACAAACTCACCTCCAAATGTTTGGAGATCTTTCAACTTGCCCATGTGGGGGGGCATCTTTCTTATTTTCGTACGTCTCAAATCAAGATGGCGCAAGTTGATAAGTCTTCTCAAATTGGTGGGCAACTCAGCTAGACATGTACAATTTGACAGCAACAACGTTTGTAAATTATACAAACTGCATACCGTGTCTGGTAATTTCCTTATTGGACTGCCACACAAGTTGAGGTACCGTAGATGCTTCAAGTTGCTAATTGAATCAGGCAACTCCTTGATATAATGCCCATGTAGTTTGAGAACTCTTAAACACTGTAGCACTACAAGGAGATCAAATCGTACTGTTGGCAATGAATAGAGATCGCCAAGAATGAAGGTGCGCAGATACTTAGCTTCATAAATAGTGTCACATCTCTCAAAATCAACATTAGATGAATATTGCATATAAGAAAAATGACGACCCTTGCTCACAACGTCCAATGAGAAGTCATGGTCTTCCAATCTAATGCAAAATTCCCCACATACGCAAGTCGCCAAATCATGCATCAGATCATGCATGATGAAACAATCATTTGAAGGTGAGTATTGAAAAAATGACCGTGAGATTAGATCATCAAAGTATTTCTTTCCAACATCTTCCAACCTAGTCTTCTTTTGGGGTTGTAAAAGATCTTCGGCCATCCACAATAAAATTAATTCAAACTTGTCAAATTCATAATCTTTGGGAAATATTGAACAATAAGCGAAACAACGCTTCAGCACCGGAGACAAGTACTGGTAACTTAGCCATAGTGCCGGCAGAATTTCAATCTTTGCATCTGACAACTCCCATATGTCACTTTTTAGCACATTTTCCCATTCCTCCACATTTGGTTCAGAGCGTAAGAGACCACCGAGAGATTTTGCAGCTAAAGGAAGGCCTTTACACTTGCTAACAATTTGTCTTCCAATTACCTCAAGATTTGGATCTACAATAACACTTGCATCTTTGAAGGCATGGTTTGCAAATAAAGACCAACAGTCTTCCTCAAGTAAGTGCTTTAAATAGTGGGTTTGAAGAGTACCCATCGTAGATGCAACACCATCATTCCGTGCGGTGACAATGATCTTACTTCCATGAGCTCCAGACTCTAAGGGGCGTTTTAAGGAATCCCAAATATTGTAATTCTCGTTCCAAACATCATCAAGAACAAAAAGAAACTTCTTCCCCACCAAAGCATCTTTGAGTTTGACCTGAAGCTGGTTTAGGTCTGTGGTGTCACAGGTTCGTGAAGTGACTGATGCATAAATTGTTTGTGTGATCTTAACAACGTCAAATTCATCAGAAACACAAACCCATGCCTGGAGCTCAAAATGCTGCTTCACTCTATCATCATTGTATAAGAGCTGAGCAAGGGTGGTCTTTCCGATCCCACCCATGCCCACAATGGGAATAATGCCAATCTTACTACAAGAGACATCATTTGATAGCAACAATTGAATGATGGTTTCCTTGTCATGATCTCTTCCATACACATCAGAGCATTCTACTAAAGAAGTTGAAAGCAATGTTTGTGAGATTTTGTGTCTACTACCTCTTTTCAAATCAAGGGCATCTTTCTGTTCTACAATGAAGCTTAGCCTCTCAAGAATTTCCTCTATTTTGCTGTCTACAGACTCATCAAAAGCATGCAAAGAAGTAGAGATGAGGTCTTGTACCTTGCTTGTGCTACTTCCAAATTCAGCTTCAATTTTCCGCCTCAACGCTTCTGTCTTGATCTCGTCCAGTAGGTCCTCAGCATCAAGGACTGCCTCTTTAAGCTCGTGCAGCCACAGCCTCACATGTGGGTTACGTAATTGCTTTTGCTCGGCATCATCATAAACAGCACCAACAGACATCAACTTGATCCTCAACTTCTTGAGCAACCCATCAGTCAGTTTCTTTCCTCTGATGAAGTTTCTGACCTCCTGAGAATCCAACTTCACAAATACTTGCTGGAAGAAACCCGAGAGAGCGGCTCCACCTACCACCGCCAACGCCATGATCAATCTTTTCTTTGCAAATGGAAATTTGGTGACAGAGTTGAGAGAATGTATAAGACCATTACAAATCTACAACACATGAGAACCACTCGTTCTCAAATCTTCACCTAATTTTTTGGTGCTTTATGGATTCCACTTGTCAATAATTTAATTCTTGTTGTGGTGGTCGGCCCTTTGATGCTGCGTGCCCAGTCCAGCATCATTGGCAACATCCCCATCAACAAAAACTGGGGCAGCCCCTTGCTTCTGTTCGGCCCAATTTTCTGCTCAATTTGTCTCAGCCCAGCTGGCCTGCTCCTAGGCCCTCCTTGGCTCTATATCTGCAATACATTCCAGCCTGACCCTTTGCTGGAACCCAGTTAGAACAGCAGCCTGACCACTTTGGCATCCCGCCACTGGTGCTACCCATTACATGACGAGTCAATCGTCTTTGGTTGCTCATATGGAGCGTCCTTCTCCTTCTAATGTTTTTTTGGGTAGGCAATAGTAATACTATATACATTACCCACGTCGGCACCCTTCCTCCTTCGCTTGATTCCTTTAATTTTCATCTTCGCATTGTCTTTTTTCTTCCCGACCTTTGTTATTTTTTTTTGTTGCTCGTTTCAATTTTTCTTCTGGAGCAGTTGATTCAACTACATTAGCCATTTACATTTGAGTATCTATGACTGTTTTGCTGGAAGAAAATAAGAAAATGAATTTCTGGGTTTTTAGTTAATTGTGTTTCGATTTACATTGTAAAACGCTAATTTCGGTTTGATTTACATTATAATCTGCCCAAATTTTAGAATTCAAAATTTGATTCTGTCAGGGAATGTCTGTTTGTAGGGAACTGAATTGGTTATACTAATTCGAATTTTGATTTGTACTATTGATTTTACTGCAGCCGACGAATCAGAGAAGCTTGTAGAAGCCTCGAAGAAGGGGAATTTAATTCCTCTGTCTCGGAGCATATTCTCGGATCATCTAACTCCTGTTCTTGCTTACCGATGTCTGGTTAAGGAGGATGATAGAGATGCTCCAAGTTTTCTGTTTGAGTCAGTTGAGCCGGGTTCCAACGACTCCAATGTTGTAAGCGTCCTCAGCCCCTTGTATCATTTGTATTTGTTTGCATCTGACTTTAGACAATAATAATCACTTACAAATTTTTGGTGTCAATCATTTGTTATTGGTGCCCAACCATCCATTGAAATCGTGGCTAAGGAGAACATGGTTACCATTATGGACCACAGAGAAGGTTGTAGGACAGAGGAGATCGTGGAGGATCCAATGACTGTTCCTCGGAGAATCATGGAGGGATGGACACCCCAACTTCTTGATGAACTTCCAGAAGCATTTTCTGGTACGATAAGCACACAAATAACATGCTTTAAATTCTTTAGTAGTACTCATATCTTAATCCTCTCAGTTCAAAGTAAACCACTTCTCCTTAAATGTGGTTCGTTAACAAAACTTCGATTTGTAAAGTTGTGGTGAAGTTATTTATAAAAATGAAGGCCATGCTTTGCTTACTTTTCCCCTCGTAGTCTCAAAGTTTTGGACTAGGCAAGTAGAATTGTGGGTTATCGGTATGCTCATATTTTCCTGTACATTTTGTTAGGTTGTAGATGTACTGTGTTGACACTAGTGTTATGTATTGGAAACATTGGTATCTAGAGTGCATGACATTATCACGTGAGTAATCAACTCCTTTCCTTCACATTTCTTTTCTATATATATTTTTAATACCAGTTTTAATCATAAATGTATGCTTACGTAAAATTGAATGGGATAAGATTAATCAACAGTCAATTTCAACTCGAGGCCGCCTCAGGGCCGGAGGACTTAGTTCTCCATACTTGTTAATTACTTTTTTTTTTTTTTTTAAAAAAAAAAAAAAAAAACTTAAGGTTGATGTAAGAATGTATCAACTGTCAATTTCAGCCCGAGGCTGCCTGCAGGTTCAATAGGGTTCAACACTCAACTTTTTGGTACTAAATTGGAGGACTCAAGCTTGACAAGTGAGGAATATAAGGAGGCAGTTTTGGAAGCTAAAGAGCACATTCTAGCTGGGGATATATTTCAGATTGTATTAAGCCAGCATTTTGAGAGGCGAACATTTGCAGACCCATTTGAAATTTACCGAGCATTGAGGATAGTTAATCCAAGTCCATATATGACTTATTTACAGGTTTGCCTCGTTTTCAGTGAGTCATTGGTTCCAATCTGTTGTGCTTTGGCCTGTTATCTCACCAACTTATAAACCCACAGTTGAACAATTTAAAATACAAGAAATAAAGACACCGATAAATTTACGAGGTTCGGCAAAAACCTGCCTACGTCCCCGGAGAGATATTGCTCTTCACTATGAGAATAACAGTACAAGTTACACTTGAGTTAAATCGACATAACCCAAACCCCAATCCCTTGTACCCTCACAGAATTTTACTAAGAGACTCACTCTCCCCAAGAGTTTCTCACTCTTACTCTATATTTTCTCTCCTTTGTGTTCTCCTTCGGATGCTCTCTCTCTTTATTTCTCTACTTCGGCTCTTTGCAATTAAATGGACAGAAAAGTGAGTCAACCTCCTTTTTTACATAGACACAATGATGATCCATCATGCTCCCTTTTCTCAAAACCCAAAACCACTTTCGGCATGCAAATGGGAAATGAGTAAAAAATGCCAAAACAAAGGAATCCTATGAAACATCATCATTGTCTTCCACTATTAGTGGAAATGAGATATGGACATATTTGGCCACTATTTCGAAAGCATAACACACAAAGTCACTTAATTGTTAACAACTCAAAATATGAGCCAATCACAACAATCTCCACCTTGGCGAATATACTGTGCAAAAAATCCTTGCACCCATCACCAAAGTCCATTGGCCTTACGTACCAGCATACACACACTGAATAAACCTCGTTGGTCCTGTTCCGATTCAGTCACTGCCAATGCATGTGCAGCTGCTGCAAGCTAAAAATCACAATTTTAGTTTCAGACAGGATCTCGACACATCCTCGTCTCCTCCAACAGTTTTTTTCCCCTTCTTTATTGTCTGCAACTTGGAAACTCGTCAGTGCACCCGTTTCCAACAACAACCCATCGAGCCAGACAAAATTCCCCACACTTCTCTTCCTTCAAGACCATCTCATCACCTGTGAATCCCATAGCTCCACCTGGTGCAAATCCCTTGCAACACTCGAGACTAAACATCACCAAGAGAAGTGTTGCTTCGAGTACCTAGAGGGCATACTCGAAGTCTTCTGCCACAAAATTGCTACTACTCGGACCAAGATCATCCTTTCTTTTTCTCAAAGGACAATTTATCTTTTTATGCCCGAATTCTTTGCAGTTGTAGCATTGTAGACCCTTGCCTCCGGAACCGGATTTGAACCTGTTGTCTCTCTCAGATCCTTCTCCCAATTTTCTTCCACGATTCCAACCTTGAACAGCTAAAGCAGTCTCGTGCCCACCATCAACAATGGTCTTCTTCTTTTGTGTATCATAAGACACCAAAGAAGCTTGCACCTGCTCCAAACTTACTGTATCTTTTCCATGCAGTAAGGTTGTCACAAGATTTTCATACGAATCTGGAAGTGAGGTAAGAAGTAAGAGGGCTTTGTCTTCTTCCTCAACCTTGACATCAACTTTCCTCAATTGATCCAAGTATCCGTTGAACACATTCATGTGGTCCATGAGATTCTCACATTCATCCATCTTCAGCTTGTACAGTTTCCGTTTCAAATGCAACTTGTTGGTCAAACTCTTAGCAATATAGAGTTTTTCCAACTTCTCCCAAAGTGCAGGCGCAGAATCTTCATCCATAACATTATTGATAATGTTATCAGTTATACAGTGTCGAATCGTGCTAACACAACGCGCCTCCAGCTCCTCCCACTGGTCATCTGTCATTTCTTGAGGCTTCCCATCTTTTCCCTTCAAAGCTCTAGCCAAGCCTTGTTGAGTCAAGACATCCTTTACTCTCATCTGCCAAAGAGTAAAATTGTCTTTCCCATTAAACTTCTCAACTGAAAATGACATGTTTGTAGTCATCATGGTGAATAACAAATCTGGACCTTCGATGAACCAAAGCTTCCAACAAAGCTCTGATACCAATTGTTGTGCTTTGGCCTGTTATCTCACCAACTTATAAACCCACAGTTGAACAATTTAAAATACAAGAAATAAAGACACCGAGAAATTTACGAGGTTCGGCAAAAACCTGCCTACGTCCCCGGAGAGATATTGCTCTTCACTATGAGAATAACAGTACAAGTTACACTTGAGTTAAATCGACATAACCCAAACCCCAATCCCTTGTACCCTCACAGAATTTTACTAAAAGACTCCTCTCCCCAAGAGTTTCTCACTCTTACTCTATATTTTCTCTCCTTTGTGTTCTCCTTCGGATGCTCTCTCTCTTTATTTCTCTACTTCGGCTCTTTGCAATTAAATGGACAGAAAAGTGAGTCAACCTCTCCTTTTTTACATAGACACAATGATGATCCATCATGCTCCCTTTTCTCAAAACCCAAAACCACTTTCGGCATGCAAATGGGAAATGAATAAAAAATGCCAAAACAAAGGAATCCTATGAAACATCATCATTGTCTTCCACTATTAGCCAAAATGAGATATGGACATATTTGGCCACTATTCCGAAAGCATAACACACAAAGTCACTTAATTGTTAACAACTCAAAATATGAGCCAATCACAACACAATCTACTTGTTCACCTTGTAATTCTGAGATTATATGAGTATATACTTCCATGATCAGGCTAGAGGCTGTATTCTGGTTGCTTCAAGTCCAGAAATTCTAACACGTGTCAAGAAGGTGAGTAAAGGAAGTCCAAAAAATTTAACATCTGAGTGTTCGTCTTATTCTGTTGCTAGCTCCTAAACCTCTACAATGGTTCCTACAAGATGTCCTACATTTTATGTTTTCTTTGGTCCCTTTTGTTTTCCTACTATAGTGTTGTAGTCGTCATTAGCAATAAATTGCTGAGATTTGCATTTCTTATTTTTGTTATTAGAAAACGATCACCAACCGGCCTCTTGCTGGGACAGTTAGAAGAGGAAAAACACCTAAAGAAGATTTAATGCTGGAAAAGCTGCTTTTGAATGATGAAAAGCAATGTGCAGAGCATATTATGCTTGTAGACTTGGGAAGGAATGATGTTGGGAAGGTTTATAATCTTTCCTTTCTCATATTATTACTGTATGTTGAACTTTATTCTCCAGAGTGTAATACCATGCATATGCTAAATTTTATTCTCCCCGGTATCTATTTTCAGTCCATGGCGGGTAAAAAGTATTTCACTGATGTATATTTCAGCATTAGCTTCATAAGTTCACACTTGATGCCTTGTCTGTTCATGGCTTACGTGACAATATTTATAAGATTTTTATCATAATCTGTTTCTTTCATTTAGTATATTGTGGCCATAATAATTTGTTCATGCAGGTCTCAAAACCTGGTTCTGTCAAGGTTGAGGAGCTCATGAACATTGAGCGTTATTCCCATGTCATGCACATAAGTTCAACAGTAACTATCTCCTTTCGGGTAATACACATAATAAGTAACCTAATATCTATAACGATTGATGACACATCCGCGCATCTGTAGACATTAGTTTCAGAATTTATTTTCTCATGGGGTCTATGTCTATTTTCATGAGTGTAATGTATGTACTCAACAACCAATTGAATTAAGGGACGAAACTTTAATGTAATTGTAGGTTACTGGAGAGTTACTTGATGATTTAACTAGCTGGGATGTTCTTCGTACTGCGTTGCCTGTTGGGACAGTCAGTGGAGCACTGAAGGTTTTCTTCATGAGCCCTTTTTAATTTGTTTGTTGGCATTCTTGTTTTATTTCTTATCAATTAGCTAAATTGATCCTAGACTTAATTAACCTGTATAATCCTGCGAGTACAAACCTTGAGGATTAACCTAATTAGTTAGGAAACGGCTTATTACACCGCTCTTGGTTGATATATGGAACCTGATGTCATGATTTCCCAATCTATCTTATATGGACTCGCTTAGGATTAATTTTTCGAGTTTCTGCATTCTTAGCTCTACTGCAATGCAGGTGAAAGCCATGGAGCTGATCGATAAGCTAGAAGTGACTAGACGTGGTCCATACGATGGTGGCTTTGGGGGAATTTCGTTTTCTGGCAACATGGACATTGCCCTTGCTCTGAGAACTATTGTTTTTCCAACTAGCTTTCGGTATGATACAATGTATTCATACAAGGACGCAAACAAGCGCAGAGAGTGGGTCGCTCATCTCCAAGCCGGGGCAGGAATTGTTGCTGACAGTGATCCAGCCGATGAGCAGAGGGAGTGCGAGAACAAAGCTGCTGCTCTTGCGCGCGCTATTGATCTGGCGGAGTCGTCATTCGTTGATAATTGAATGCGTTTTTTGCTCGCATACAGAATCTGGTTTGTAATATATCAAGTTTTCCTTGGCAATTTTAGTCGTGAGTTCATCTTTTTGTATGAATAATGTGATTTTGATAAAAGTGAAGATCTGATGTTAGGAACTCTAAATTATATTAGATGATTGTTAGGTACTCAAGCTCAAGGGAAGAGCCTAACCGAAAAGACTAGTCCAATAGATGGGAGGACCCCAAGGACTTAAGAAACACTACACCCCCATAAGTGTAGTCGATGTGGGATCATAACATTACACCACCATTCAGAAGCCGACGCCCATGGTTGCCCTTACTCTGGTGGCTTTCACTCTAAACGGCGGCGCACCCTTTGGTCGTCCCGGTAAGGTAGCCCCTTCTAGGTCGTCCTCTCCGCAGCGTCGGGAACCTAGGCTTTGATATCAATGTTAGGTACTCAAGCCCAAGGGAAGAGTCCAACCCAAACGACTAGTCCAATAGGTGGGAGGACCCTAAGGATTTATGTGAAATCCCGTTCTCGGATTTCACTGTTATAATGTAAGTGTTTGTATTCTTAAGATTTTATACTATTTTTCGAGAATTTATATTAAGTTATTTGAAGTTATACTTTAATTAAACTAGTTGCGAAGTTTAGAGTTTGGAAATTAATTATTAAAAATTCGTAGACCATTCGAGGTCACAATTTATATCTTTGGTTAGAGCTCGATCTCACGAACGCGTAGGCGCAAACCGTTCGTGAAACGGATCTACAACGAAGAAGTTAGAGACGTTTTAGTTGTTGGAAAATAAATAATTAAATGTTTAGAAGCTGCCAAGTGGCAGCAAGGGAGAGGGGAGAAAGGAGAGAGTGCGGGAGAGAAAAGAGGGGGGGGGGGGACAACCAATCAGAAAAAGGAGGAAAGGAGGGGGAAAGGAGGGAGACCCGAAATGGGTCATTTTGACCTGCGAACCTTCAAAATTGAACCGCTCATATCTCCTTCATACGAACTCCGTTTTGGGTGATCTTGGTGTCCATGGAAAGCCCTTGACGAGACCTACATATCTGTAGTGTTAGATTTTTCAATTTACTTCCCAATTTGTTTAGTTCAAAGACACAAACCCACGGGTGTCCGGACAGTTTTATCCTTTTTCCGGTGGCTTCGGCAAGCTTCACCGTCGATGACCACCACCAAAGGACTCCTCTCAATCCCAGGAACAAATCCCAAGCATTGGTGGAGGCATCGGAGCTCGTATGGAATTCGAATCGAAGCACACCCTTTTCTAGGGTTCCGACGGGTTTGTGAAAAATCGAGGTGTTTTCCGGAAAAATTGGCCTTGGTCATAGGTATGAAAATTGTTTCCCTCACTGAGATCTACTTGCCTGTAAAATTTTGTAATTTTTTAAAATAGTTGAATTTTCCGGCGAGTCGGGTGGCCGACCGCCACCTGCAGCGGCATGTAGCCAGTGGGCCGACGATGATTTTCTAAGTTCAATTAGATGTCCTGACTTTGTATTTGATATTCGTATGATGTGGATTGATCGTTTGAACCTAATTTCACTATGATACATTACTTGATCAAAATATGAATCGATGATTCGACCGTTGGATTGTTAACAAACTTTAATACGTAATAATACGTAATATTTGAGGACCATGGTAACTGATAGATTGGGAATCCGACGTACGGATCCTTTTGTATTGAATTTCTACGTTTGTAAAATCAAACTTTGGTCGCCACTTGAATTTGTAATTGGCAGAGATCCGACCGTCGGATCGTGATGAAATTTTAGTATGTTGTTTTATAGGCATAATGTGTATTTTAGAAAGTTACAGATCTGAAATCCAACGTGCGGATCTTACGGATCAAGTTATGTAGAATTGTGAACCCTACCTTTGATCGAGAGTTGACTTTTGGTCAACATGTCTCGAAATGTTCTAAATATTAAAATTAGTACTACGGGGAGACGCAGTGAGGCCAAGTGGGCCTACATTGGTTAGAGAGTGACTTGAATATATGGGCTATGGTGATTACCTTAAATTCTTTTATTAATATCAATTGTGATTACGACTTAGTTTTATAAATGTGATTTCTATGGAAATGTGATTTTATATATTTAGCCATAGACCTATGCTTATTAAATAGGATTTGGCTTGTACACTGATGATGTATGTGATATATATGTGTTTAATTATCTTTTTAATAATGTGATTGATAATTATGATGAATGTTATGACAATTATGGGATTTAATTATTGTTTGATAATTATTTGGATGTGATTGCCAACTGAATACCTATTTGAACTTGGCATTACTACCTAGCTTGAGATGGAGATGAGTTAGGTACTTTATTAGATTTTTAGTAGAAATAGTAATTAAGGGAATTCCTTGTGTTGTGCTCCATATGACTAGATGTTGGTTGATACGTGGAATCGATAACATATATGCGTATAATTATGTTTAATGTGTGATGATGAGATTGCACCACGTAGTAGTGGTACATGGATGTGGTCCTGCTTGGTATATCCGCGATGGGGGACCCTACGCATTCTAGAGGTGATGATGATTGGTTGTACTTGATACATTTTATAGGCGATCATATTTGGTTTGGTTCCATTGAGTGGTCCGGAACCCGAGGCTGTTGAATTTCATGGAGTGGCCTAAAATCCCATTAATTGGAGAAGTAGGCTTGGCCTAACACTGTCACTCTAGCCTTAGTTTTATATATATTTGTGTCAATGATTTCGAGAGTCTTGTGAATTGAGTTAAAAAAAATGTTGGACGTCTGAATGACTCTTTCGGGATTTTCTATGATTCGATTATGATTTCATAAGGTGTGAATTTAGAAGATATGGGAATGATTGTTATTACTTTGATCAAATTAATTAATTAATTAATGCGGCTAGAGAATGATTTTGTGTTTTGTCGGCTCTTAAATATGATGTGTGTTGTGAATTACAATATCATGATGAGACATAATGATTTATATGTTGGTGGGAGAGAAATCATGTTTTCATGGGGATTGGTTATGTAGCCTGAGTGTTGTTAGGTTATAATAAATGATTGAGGAATGCTATGCTTTTCTGCTTGAACTTAGTGGATAAACGTCTGATTTTGTGATAAGGTGAACTACGAATGGATGGATCCCTATTGAGGGTACGTAAGCAGTCTAATGAAGAGATTAGATGTAGCCATAAAGTATACGAAAAATTATTGTGCATCTGGATCTTGAAGGATACTTTGTATATATTCAGGAGGCGAGGTATGTTAGATATACGGGTATTTGGTGACGTCACGTGTCGATCATGGACGTATGTTGGGATCGGGGCGTGACAATTTAAGAACCCTTACACCCCTATAAGTGTAGTCGATGTGGGATCATAACAATGATGGGAATGTTAACGTTTTAACCAAACCAAAACTAAAGGTAATGGCATACACAAGCAAATTTTGAAACCCTAGTAATCATTGTTGCTTTTGCCTTTCAAACTTTTCGCGAACAGCGCCGTCATATGTTGAAATCGGGAACAGATTAAAACGATCACCGGGCGGAGTTTTCCTTGCCTTCATGGCTGCATCCGTTGTCATCATGAAAATTTCCGCTCGACCTTTGTTCTTAAAGAGCATTTTCTTCAACCTTGCCAAACTTGGAGAAGAAAGCTCTCAGCCTTTCCGTATAATCTTCACCATTCTCGTCCCAAGAAACTATAAACACTTTTACAAGAAAAAGTTTACCAAACAATCAACTGTTTTATTTTACGTCCAACTTATTCTCGTTTTCTCACAAAACAGCAAAACAGTCTTTTTTTTTTCCTTCCCTTAAAATACTAGAATACCAAGCCCACTACAACAAACCATTAGCCAAGGGCGGAGCTACCATGGGCCTAGGGGCGGATGCCCCCATTGAAGTTTTTCTAATGCTGGCATGCTGCTCAAACTGATCTGGTTCTGCAGTAGCAAAGCCCCCACCAAGATGTTTCTGGTTCTGCAGAAGTAGAGCTGGGTCTTTGTTTTTTTTTTTTCAAAACCAGGCCAAAAAGACGTCGTTTTAGTCCTGGTAAAAAAAATTAAAAAAATGTAAACAAAACGACGTCGTTTCGTATATGTTTGGAAAAAAAAAAGTTATGTTATAGTGGGGGACCATTTGTCCACACAGTCCCAGACTCCCATTCCTTCCATCTCTTTATTTCATTTTTATTAGCCTTTGCGGCTCCAATCAGAGAGCAGAGCAGCGTGGTGCTGCTCTTCCCCCAACGCCAACAGCTTGAAACGGAACGGAAGTTACGGAACAGGAGCAAAGTTGCTCTTCCCCCAGCCACCCCAGCCAGCCATTCGCTAGCCGACATATATATATTTAGGTAAATTTTTTAATTCCTAAATCTATAATAATCCCTAACCCTAATTAATTATTTAAGACGAATTTTTGTTTAATTGGTATAGAAATATAGAATCATATGGATATGGTCATGCACTAATATGGTTATTGACTTATTGATTATTGATATGAATTCTATGATTATTGATGAATGAAATTATGAAATGGATATGGGTATACATTTATTCATATGATTAGTTGAATTAAATGTTTATTTGTTGAATAATTTGTATGCTTATTGGTATTGGTTAATTGAATTGTTGCCTTGGTTGGATCTTGGTTTGATTAGATTGCTATGTTAATCAAAATGTCCCATGTAGTATGTTATAAGGTTAAAGTTTTACATAAGTTTTCTTTAACGACTTGGTTTCAAAATGTTTCAGTTGCATATCTAACTTGTTTCTCATGTGTTTTCATCCTGAAGGTTAGAAAAGATGGGATTTTTATTGAGATTTTTATTCTATAAATTATGTATGAACCTTATATGTTATTGGCATCAATTTGAATGACTTTGCAGACTGAAACATCATGGAGAGGTTTTTCAAAAAAATATCAATGCCGCCATCCCCAGTTATTGAGAAAAATAATGATACTCATGGTCATGGACAAGATAGTACATAATTTATTTTATCAAATCTTCCATCAGATCCTGGTAAGCGAATTCTAATTTTGGATTACAATCCTAATATTCGAGATCAAGTACGAACAGCGTATGTGCTAGCTGGTCCTCAACAACCTAAAACCCATAATTTTCCTTACAAGAAATATGGAGACACGCAAAGACGATTCAACCCTGCTTGGTTTGATGATTTTCCTACTTGGTTGGAATATAGTGTAGAAAAAGATGTTGCCTTTTATCTGTGTTGCTACCTTTTTAAACCAAACATTGGAGAACAAGCAGGTGTTGATTTCTTTGTTGGCGAAGGATTTTCTAACTGGAAGAAGAAAGAAAGACTTCTAACTCATATTGGAGGCGTCAATAGTGCACACAATCAAGCATGGAGTAATTTTGAAGCTTTAAGGAGTCAAAAGCAACATATCCAGTCTTTTTTCTCTAAAACTCATGATGAAGCTCGAATTCAATATAGAGCTCGGTTGAATGCATCAATTGATTGTTGTTGATTTCTTTTGAGACAAGGGCTTGCATTTCGTGGTAATGATGAATCTGAACGTTCAAGCAACCATGGAAACTTTCTTGAGCTTCCACAGTTTCTTGCCGACCACAATGAGGATGTGAAAGCCGTTACTTTGAAAAATGCTCCGGATAATCACAAATTGACATCACCAGATATTCAAAAAGACATTGTAAATGCTTGTGCAACTGAGACGATCAAGGCTATTATTGAAGACGTTGGCACTTCGTTGTTCTCTATTTTGATTGATGAATCTCGCGACGTATCAACGAAGGAACAAATGGCTATTGTATTGCGTTATGTGGACAAGAATGGGCATGTTAAGCGTTTTATTGGCATTGAGCATGTTACTAGTACTACTGCTCTCTCACTTAAGGAAACCATTGATGATGTATTTTCTAGGCATAAATTGAGCATGTTTAGGTTGCGTGGGCAATGTTATGATGGGGCCAACAATATGCAAGGTGAGTTCAATGGTCTTAAAGCTCTTATTATGAAAGAAAGTGGTTGTGCCTATTATATTCATTGCTTTGCACATCAACTTCAATTAGCTCTTGTAGCTGTGGCAAAGAAGAACATCCAAATTGAGTCTCTTTTTATTATAGTTACTATTTTGGTAAATGTTGTTGGAGCTTCATCGAAGCGTTGTGATCTTCTTCGAGAGAAGCAATTTATTAAAGCACTAAACAATGGTGAGTTTATAAGTGGCAAAGGCAAAAATCAAGAAACTACTTTGAAACGTGCTGGAGAAACACGTTGGGGTTCACACTTTGGTAAAGTATAATGACTATGTTTTCATCCATACTTGATGTACTTGAAGCAATAACAGATGATGGAGTAAGCTCTCAACAAAGATGTGAAGCGAATAATTTATTGGATTCCATGCAATCATTTGATTTTGTTTTTAATCTACACTTGATGAAAGATATACTAGGAATAACCAATGAATTATCACAAGCATTGCAAAGGAAGGATCAGGATATTGTAAATGCCATAAAGTTGGTTGAAGTTTGTAAGCAAAGGTTGGAGATAATGAGGAAAAGTGGTTGGGATTGTTTACTTAGTGAAGTCTCAGAATTTTGTCTTAAACATGATATTGATGTGCCTAATATGAATGATATGTTTCTTTCTCGAAGGCGAGGGCAACGAAAAGCACAAGCAGTCACAAATATGCATTATTATTGTGTTGGGATATTTTATGTTGTTTTGGATTGGCAGCTTCAAGAACTAAATAATCGTTACAATGAGACCAACACTAAGTTACTTCTTTGTTTGGCATGTTTATGTCCAGCCGACTCTTTCTTTGCTTTTGATAGCCAAAACTATTGCGTCTTGCCCAGTTTTATCCTAAAGACTTCTCTATGAATGAGCTGGTGATATTTAAGATTCAACTTGAGACTTACATTTTGGATATACGGTCTAGCATTGAGTTTTCAGGTTTAAAAGAGATTGGAAATCTTGCAAAAACAATGGTTCAATGCAAGAAACACAAGGTGTATTTGCTGGTTTACTTGCTTGTGACATTAGCACTAACTCTTCCAGTTGTTACTGCAATTGTTGAAAGAGCATTTTTGGCCATGAAAATTCTGAAGAATCGATTGAGAAATCGGATAGGAGATCAATGGATGAATGACAACATGATTATTTTTATAGAGAGAGAGAAATTTGATGGCATTGGTAATGATGTTGTCATGCAACGCTTTCAGAACATGAAAAAGCGTCGAGGGATATTGTAAGGGATTGTTGTATGAAAAACTTTATGGGTTAATATATAAGTATTGTGTTTAGTAAATTCTTGAGTTTTTTAATTATGACTTTGTTGTTTGAGGATGCCCCCATTCACCCTAATCTCTGGCTTCGTCCCTGCCATTAGCAGGCCCAGTCCTAACAAGCCCTTCACTCTTTAATTCTCTCTCTTTTTTTTTAAATTTTCATTGTTTATTAATTTAAACAGAGCCTTCTTCCGTGCTCACTTTGCTGAACAAGTTTCATCATCTCCTTCTTTAAACAGAGCTTTCTTCGGCATCTGTCAGTGGCACTTTCACTGAATCCCACAATTACCCATCTCATCTCCCATCCATTTTTTTCCCTCTCAACAGGTATTTCTTTTTTCTCATCATTTTTTTCTTGTTTATTAAATTATTGGTATTTATGATTTCCTGTTATGCCTGGATATTTTGTGTACAAGTCTGGAAATTTTGGTAAATCTTGTTCACTTGTAACATTCTCTAGAACATGCTCGTAAAAGAATTCATGTGTGCAGGCCAACTAGGGGTACTAATATGTGGATTTCCTTGCTCTCGTTTTGTCTGTTTTGAGAATTAGAAATTTATCACCGAGACTTTCCGGCAGCCAAAATTTATGATTATGAGTTGTGTAATTTTGTTTGCTCATAATTTTTAGGTACATATCATTTCACGACTCCAAACCTACACATGCGAAGCAACTTGAAAACTTTTGTAGCTCTATGCATCCCTAAGGGCATGATGAAATGGTAATCATTTGATGAGACATGATTAACAGATAGGATCATCTTGGCAATACTAATTAAACAAGTCAAATTTACACCGCTTGAGATCGATTAGTAAACAACAGAGGGTTTTCGATACTCTGGTCTTACAACATTCATGCATGATCATAGATTCACAGTTCCAAACGAAATCATCATCCATATTTTACAAACCAAACGTTTGAATTTGAATTCCACAAAGTACCAAAATCTACCTCTCAATAGACACAATTTGGAAACAAACTTGAAAAAGGAAATTCGGAAACTAGAGCTCATAAACTTGTTGAAGCTCCTTTTTCATCGACGACTAGTTCGATACAACAAATTGTCGTATAATAGAACCACCATAAGACACAGTAAGAAAAGAGGGAGAGTAGAACCAACTCTGAATCACTTCCACTCCATTTAACCCATCAGTTTCAAGCCTGCTGAGAAGACGGTAGCTGTGCCAATGCTGGCATTGAAAAACAATATTCACAATCCACAAGTCGAAGAGTAACAAGATGAGAGAACGAACGAGTCATCTCCTAACAGATTTGGAATTTTTGTAGCTCCATATCTTTCTATCACAAATACTTTCAAGTTTATATGGGTCATGAGTACCTGTAAAATTTGTTATTACGTGAATATTAACATTTGAAACATGTTTATGATTTAAATTCACAGAGCCAGATAGTAAATAAACACATAAACGCACGTTGACGAATTACGTACCATTGCAAATCATATCTTTCGGTGATCAATCCATATGTGGGGATGTGAGAAATCTTGGCCCAATCTTCTCCAGCGTCTCTCTGGCACCGGTGTGTAAGCAAATCACACTGGAAGATTTGCAGACGAGAAAGAGAAGCGGGTAGCCCTTCATCTGGCAAACTCTGGAGTTGAGGACAAAAAGATATATCCAACATCTCGAGAGAGATGAGGTGTCCTAACGCCTTGCCGTCAATGGTTCTCAGATTCGGAAGATGGGAGATTCTAAGAGAAGTGAGAGTGGTTGGCAGCAGCCCCTCTTCTGGAAATGATTCGACAATTTCTTCTTCTTCACATTCTGAGAAGTTGACAGCCAAGTGTTTGAGAGAGGTGAGTGTTTGTAGACCCCACCGCATACGGTTTGCCATCAGTTTTTTACAACTCCAGATTTCGAGTGACCGGAATTTAGACGGCAATCCCCCTTCCGGAAATGATTCCAATTCTGGAGATTCAAATATGAACAAAGACTTGATAGACGGGAGAGAGATTTGCATCTCCTCTGGCAGTGACCTGAATTTGTTACATCCTTTGATTTCCATCTTCTTCAAGTTGGGCGCTTGCAGTCCTCCTCCATGGGGGAAACCCACAAATTCTGGGCACTCCATTATCTTCAAATCATCGAGGGGTGGGAATTTAGATTCTTCCGGAAATGATTTAAATTCTTTACACCCTTCTATGGATAGAGACTGAAGAGAAGGGAGAGAGCTGTGCATCTCCTTTGACAGTGACTTGAATTTGTTACATTCTTTGATTTCCATCTTCTTCAAGTTGGGCGCTTGCAGTCCTCCATCATGGGGGAAACCCACAAATTCTTTACACCCTTGTATGTACAGAGTCTGAAGAGACGGGAGAGAGGCGTGCATCTCCTCTGGCACCGACCACATGTTTTTAGAAGTGAACACAAATATCATCTTCAAGTTGGGCGCAAGCAGTACTCCACCACCCACAAAACATACCAGATTCGGGCAATCTAATATTTCCAACTCACGGAGGGATGGGAGTTCAATATTGAATTTATTGCACTCTTGCGAACAAGCAAGGGATTCGACATTAACTTCATGCAAACTTAGCCCCTCAAGTCTTGGAAAGTAGTCTAACGGTATTTTCCCCGTTAGTTTGGGACAGCAGTGCAGACGAAGCTTGCAAAGATTAGGAAAATGTCCACCTTCTTCTTCTTCACCTCCAGGGAAACACCACTCTTGCCATGCCAGCATATTGCAGAAACTCAGAAACTCCAAAGATTTAAATGCAGGTTTAATTCCCCCATAAAACTCAGACCCCACTGATTCCACTCCATTCAACCCATCAATTTCAAGCCCTTTGAGGGAGGGCAGCTGCCCCAATGCTGGCAGGGACAAACAATATCCACAAGTTTCAAGTCGTAGAGAGACGAGATTAGAGAAAGACTCATCTCCTAACCAACCTGGAAACTTTGTACCTCCGTATCCTTCAATAGCCAGTACTTTTAGGTTTATATTGGGCTGCAGGTTGCCCAGCACTCGGCTATCGTTTTGAGAATCGATAGCGTCACCTTCCCATTTCAAATGTATTTCAATGAGCTTCTTGTCCCTCAGTTTGGCCTCCAAAGCATCCTCAGCACATGTGATATTTTGAAGCCCTGAAATATGAAGATTTCCACTCAAATGCTGAAACCCCTTTAACTCATCAATGTTTCCCCCGACATCTTTGCTCAAGACAAACTCACCTCCAAATGTTTGGAGATCTTTCAACTTGCCCATATGGGGGGGCATCTTTTTTATTTTCGTACGTCTCAAATCAAGATGGCGCAAGTTGATAAGTCTTCTCAAATCGGTGGGCAACTTAGCTAGACATGTACAATTTGACAACAACAACATTTGTAAATTATACAAACTGCATACCGTGTAAGGTAATTCCATTATTAGAGTGTCACACAAGTCGAGGTACCGTAGATGCTTCAAGTTGCTAATCGAATCAGGCAACTCACTGATATCTTCCCCTCGGAGTTTGACAACTCTTAAACACTGTAGCATTAAAAGGTGATCAAGTCGTACCGTCGGCAATGAATAGAGATCGCCAAGAATGAAGGTGCGCAGATACTTAGCTTCATAAATAGTGTCAAATCTTTTAGAATCAACATTAGATGAATATTGCATATAAGAAAAATGACGACGCTTGCTTACAACATCCAATGAGAAGTCGTGGTCTTCCAATCTAAAGCAAAATTTCCCACATACATAAGTCGCCAAATCATGCATCAGATCATGCATGATGAAACAATCATTTGAACACGAGTATTGAAAAAATGACCGTGAGGTTAGATCATCAAAGTATTTCCTTCCAACATCTTCCAACCTAGTCTTATTTTGGGGTTGTAAAAGATCTTCGGCCATCCACAATAAAATTAATTCAGACTTGTCAAATTCATAATCTTTGGGAAATATCGAACAATAAGCAAAACAATGCTTCAGCACTGGAGACAAGTACTGGTAGCTTAGCCATAGAGCCGGCAAAATTTCAATCTTTGCATCTGACAACTCCCATATGTCACTTTTTAGCACATTTTCCCATTCCTCCACATTTGGTTCAGAGCGTAAGAGACCACCGAGAGATTTTGCAGCTAAAGGAAGGCCTTTACACTTGCTAACAATTTGTCTGCCAATTACCTCAAGATTTGGATCTACAATTACACTTGTATCTTTGAAGGCATGGTTTGCAAATAAAGACCAACAGTCTTCGTCAAGTAAGTGCTCTAAATAGTGGGTTTGAAGAGTACCCATCGTAGATGCAACACCATGATTCCGTGCGGTGACAATGATCTTACTTCCATGAGCTCCAGACTCTAAGGGGCGTTTTAAGGAATCCCAAATATTGTAATTCTCGTTCCAAACATCATCAAGAACAAAAAGAAACTTCTTCCCCGCCAAAGCATCTTTGAGTTTGACCTGAAGCTGGTTTAGGTCTGTGGTATCACAGGTTCGTGAAGTGACTGATGCATAAATTGTTTGTATGATCTTAACAACGTCAAATTCATCAGAAACACAAACCCATGCCTGGAGTTCAAAATGCTGTTGCACTCTATCATCATTGTATAAGAGCTGAGCAAGGGTGGTCTTTCCGATCCCACCCATGCCCACAATGGGAATAATGCCAATCTTACTACAAGTGACATCATGATAGCAACAATTGAATGATGGTTTCCTTCTCATGATCTCTTCCATACACATCAGAGCCTTCTACTAAAGAAGCTGAAAGCAATGTTTGTGAGATTTTGTGTCTACTACCTCTTTTCAAATCAAGGGCATCTCTTTGTTCTACAATGAAGCTTAGCCTCTCAAGAATTTCCTCTATTTTGCTGTCTACAGACTCATCAAAAGCATGGAAAGAAGCAGAGATGAGGTCTTGTGCTACTTCCAAATTCAGCTTCAATTTTTTGCCTCAACGCTTCTGTCTTGATCTCGTCCAGTAGGTCCTCAGCATCAAGGACTGCCTCTTTAAGCTCGTGTAGCCACAGCCTCACATGTGGGTTACGTAATTACTTTTGCTCGGCATCATCATAAACAGCACCAACAGACATCAACTTGATCCTCAACTTCTTGAGCAACCCTCAGTCAGTTTCTTTCCTCTGATGAAGTTCCTGACCTCCTGAGAATCCAACTTCACAAATACTTGCTGGAAGAAACCCGAGAGAGCGGCTCCACCTACCACCGCCAACGCCATGATCAGTCTTTTCTTTGCAAATGGAATTTTTGTGACAGAGTTAAGAGAATGTATAACAACTAATCAAAGACCCAGGAGGATCTGCAGAAGTAAAAATCTTCAACGCCATGATCAATCTTTTCTTTGCAAATGGAAATTTTGTCAATAATTCACGCGGTGTTGGTCGTGGAACCTGGCATCTGTCTGCCGAGCAGCTTGAGCATCTAGCGCAGCCCTTGAATGCTGCGGGTCCAGTCCAGCATCATCAGCAACATTCCCATCCACAGCAACTGGCGCAGCCCTTTGCTCCTGTTTGGCCCAGTTTCTGTTCAATTCTTCTCAGCCCCTTTGCTTCCAGGCCCACTGCTGTATCTGGCCTTTTAGGCCCACCTTGGTGCTATAACTGCAAGGGTGTGTCTAAGTTGCGGACAAAGTGTGCGATCGTCCGGACAGCAATCTGATGGCTGAGATTTGGCGAGGTCTGCTTAGAACCGGTTCAATCTGCTACAGCATCGGCTCAAACGGGTTTGGTTCTTCCAAATAAACATCTCCAGCTTAAACCACTATCTCTTGCCTCGCTCGCCCGCGCCAAGATCCACTACTACCGTACCAGCACCTCTCTCAGCTCTCCGATCTCGATGCTTTCCTCTTCTCCCTCGAAATTTCTCCATCATCTCTCATTCTTCCCTGGTGTTCCTCGCTCGCGTCTCAATGAAGTGCAAGATGGCGTTGACATTAGTTTTGTATAACATGAAACGGTTAGGCCATTAATCTTACCTGGTAGTATTGCTAATCCTAGATGATGTTTAACATTGCCTTTCATTTAGAGAAGTCGTGGCGAGGGTGTGGTGTTTACTTTTTAGTGTAGTCTTCTATCTAGTGTGGATGTACTGTGCTTGTCTTCATACTGCTAATTTCTCAAGATTTGCATAAGCAATCTATTCAATGTCTGAGTTTTTGTTCCTCCAAATTGAGAATTAGTGGCCTTTCATTTAGATTATCGTAGTACTAAAGGGTCGTCTGTTATACCATGATTTGAATGCTTATAGGGTTCTCTTTGACGAGGTATTCCTTTTTCAGATTTGATCATCTTAGTTAAAAATATATGTATTTTCAGTCATGTCCGTGCCCATTACCATTTTTTAGGGTGATAATGTAGCGTTTGGATGGACTTGCAGGGTGGTGAGTGGTGACCCTTGCCTTTCATGTTTTGGCCTGAATATTTAAGAAGGTAATAACTTTTCTAGTCTAAATAAATGCTACTCATCTGTTTGATCATTTTTGTTGTTACTATATCTAAAGAACTTTTTCTGCTTGAGATATGTTGACTTTACTGGTCGTTTATTTAAATTGTGGGAAGCGTCACTCCAGAAAGTGTAGTTTATAGCTTTGGCAATGTTGCTCTTGATCTGCTAAGTGGAAAGTAAATCCCTCCAAGTCATGTAAGTGGGGTGCTATATAATATGTCGGATGCACATTATACCATTAGTCTGTCCTATATCTTTATTGGAAGAAATCACTCCAAAAACGTTCAAGTGTACTATGTCCCCAATGTCGTGCAATTTTAGTTGTGAGTTGAGGTGAGTCGTCTTTTTGTACGAATAATGTGAGTTTGATAAAGTGAAAAGATCTAATGTTAGGAACTGTAAATTATATCAGATGATGGGAATGTACTTAACGTTTTACCCAAACCAAAACTAAAAGTAATGGCATACACAAGCCAATTTTGAAACCCTAGTTAATCATTGCTGCTTTTGCCATTCAAACTTTTCGCGAACCGTCATGTGTTGAAACCTGGAACAAATTAGATGATCACCTAGCAGAGTTTCCGTTGCCTTCATGGCTGCATCCATTGTCGCCATCAAGGAAGAAAATATCGGTAATATCGGAAATATCGGTAGTCCGAAAACACGGAAATATCGATGGAAATATCGGGATAATATCGATATCGATAAAAATTACATGGAAACCACGGAAATTGTAAGAAAAACTTGAAAATTTTTATTGAAACTTTACAGGATGTTTATTTAGTCAATTATCTATTAATTTATCATAAAAAATTGGAAGGAAATGCATTGCATGATGGATTTAACTGATTTAAGTTGATTATATAGCGAGCTGGCAAACATTGTGAGTGTAGAAAATATATAATAATTAATGAAAGAAGTTTAAACACACCATAATCGTTTATATATAATGAATTAGTACAATATTTTACACTTTATACATTGCATGGTAAGATACATGAGTGACTAAGTACCACATAGAGTTCCTATGAGGTTCAAAATTTTCACTATCTTCATCATCACTATGTGTAGAGTAAGTGTATTGTGAAGAGTAGTCAGCAACCATAGCAATGACTTTCAAGAACCGAAACCCAAAAGTCAATAGGAAACCGAATACTTCGGTATTTTTCGGGATTTCAGGATTACCAAACAAATGGGATATGGAAACCAATCCCATATCGAAAATTTCGGTATTTTTCGGGATGGTTTTGGTTTGGGACTTTTTTCGGTTTGGTTTGGGATTTTCGGGAATTTTTTCCAACCATACATGTAAGTGACCAAATAAAAAATAGAAAAATTAAAAACCACATGCCATTGACTAAGTAATTAATTGACACAATTTAAAATATAATACCACAAAAAATTTGGAATATGTGCAAATTTGTTTCTTGCAAAAAGAATTCAAAACAAAACCATATATATAAATAGTTTAGCATGTCTTCATAAAAACGTAAGTGGTATGGTGGTCAAGTCGCTGAAGGAGTTAAATGGGAGGGGTTCGAACCCCTTTATGTGCATGTTTGAGACTTTTCAGAATTTTTCAAATATTTTTAGGTTCATCTCGCGATATTATTCATAATATCGATATTATCACGATATATTAACGAAAATTAAAGGAATACTCACGAAATATCGTGATATGAAAAAAAACGATAATATCGGCGAAATATCGCCGATATTATCGATTTTTAAATCTATGGTCGCCATGAAAATTTATGCCCTACCTCTGTTCTTAAAGAGCATTTTCTTCAACCTCGCCAAACTTGGAGATGAAAGCTCTCAGCCTCCTCTCCATATAATCTTCACCATCCTTGTCCCAAGAAACTATACGCACTTTTACAAAAAAAAAGGTTTACCTAACAATCAACTGTTTGATTTTACACTCGACTTATTCTCGATTTCTCATATCACAGCAAAACAGTTTTTTTTTTTAATTATTTTTTATTATTTTTATTTTTTAAACACAAGAATACCAAGCCCACTACAACAAAGTACTAGCAGACCCAGTCCTAACAAGCCCACCACTCTTAAATTATCTCTCTCTCTCTCTATGTTTTAAAATTTTCATTGTTTATTAATTGAACAAGACTTGGCTGCTGAAAATTCAGCAGCCGGTCCTGCTTACACCCATTCCCGGGTGGACACTTGTTCAAGTTTTGATTTTTTTAATCAAAACTTAGACACGTGTCTACACGTGATTTTTTCAACACAAAAATACCAAGCCCACTACAACAAAACATTAGCAGGCCCAGTCCTAACAAGCCCACCACTCTTCAATTAGCTCTCTCTCTCTCTCTCTCTCTCTCTTTATTGGAAGAAATCACTCCATAAACGTTCAAGTGTACTCTGTCCCCAATGTCGTGCAATTTTAGTCATGAGTTGAGGTGAGTCGTCTTTTTGTACGAATAATGTGAGTTTGATAAAGTGAAAAGATCTAATGTTAGGAACTGTAAATTATATCAGATGATGGGAATGTACTTAACGTTTTACCCAAACCAAAACTAAAAGTAATGGCATACACAAGCCAATTTTGAAACCCTAGTTAATCATTGATGCTTTTGCCCTTCAAACTTTTCGCGAACCGTCATGTGTTGAAACCTGGAACAAATTAGAACGATCACCGGGCAGAGTTTCCCTTGCCTTCATGGCTGCATCCATTGTCGCCATGAAAATTTCTGCCCTACCTCTGCTCTTAAAGAGCATTTTCTCCAACCTTGCCAAACTTGGAGAAGAAAGCTCTCAGCCTCCACTCCGTATAATCTTCACCATCCTTATCCCAAGAAATTATACGCACTTTTACAAAAAACAGTTTACCTAACAATCAACTGTTTGATTTTACACTCGACTTATTCTTGATTTCTCACATCACAGCAAAACAGTTATTATTATTATTATTTATTATTATTTTTATTTTTTAAACACAAGAATACTAAGCCCACTATAACAAAGCATTAGCAGGCCCAGTCCTAACAAGCCCACCACTCTTCAATTATCTCTCTCTCTCTCTCTCTCTCTAAATTTTCATTGTTTATTAATTTAAACAGATGCTTCTTCCGTACTCACTTTGCTGAACAAGTTTCATCATCTCCTTCTTTAAAAAGAACGAGACATTTTGCTTCTTCGCATCTGTTAGTGGCACTTTCACTGAATCCCACATTACCCATCTCATCTCCCATCTTTTTTTTCCTCTCAACAGGTATTTCTTTTTTCTCATCACTTTTTTCTTGTTTATTAAATTATTGGTATTTATGATTTCCTGTTATGCCTGGCTATTTTGTGTACAAATCTGAAAATTTTGGTAAATCTTGTTCACTTGTAAGATTCTCTAGAATTTGTGAGTTTAATTACTGCTCGAATTGGTTCAAATGTTACTGGGAGGGGGTTAAAGGATCAAACTTTGGCTAAAGTTGCCAACTTTCTTTCATTTTCCATGGGATTAAATTTGGCTATTGTTTTCAGTTTTCCTAGGTGAAACCTGCCAATTATTCATAAACTAATATATACTAGCAAATATGTCCGCGCTCTGCTGCGGATTTTCAAATCGTAACTCACAATTTATCACACCCGTTTCTAAATTATTTAGAAATCAATCAAAGCAATTGAATTCACATGGTGAAATAAGTTTTTCAGTTTCATCTATATTCTATTAGATTTAGATTAACAGTCTATGTACCATAGAAATCGAAATTTCTAAGTCCTAACTGTTACAATTGACATGATTTTTATTTTTTTGTATGGATTTGAGAATACGATTGTTTAATTGTCCCTCAAGTGTAGTAGTAGTAGTTGGTGATCTGAAAAAAATATACCTGCACAAGGATTCAAAATTGAATCCTGATTTCTTGTACCATGAGTAGAGAAGGAAATGGTGCAAGACAATATATAAAATAACTCTGACAGTTGCGTATTTGAGGCACAATTGAACCTGATTTAGAAGATTGGCTGTACTTCGGAAGATAACGGCATTCGAGTCTGAAAACAAAACCCCATAATCCGTTTGTATGTGTTCTATGGTATAAATTATATTACTAGAATGAACCTTTTCTGGCCAGAAATGATGCCGCTGCTGGGGACCACTTCTCCTCAAGCCTTTTTGACTCTCTTGTTAATTGGCACTTACTATCTTCCATGAATTTTGCTAGTATGTCGTTATGCTTCGAGTTAAGAGCTTTTACGTTTAGTTGGAATTGTTACGACCCAATTTATGTACTTGTAGGATGCCTGAAACATTAGCCGATCTCACTTAGTAGGAAAAAGCTTTATTGTTGTTGTTGTTGTTGTAGGATGTCTGAAACATGAAGTTGATATGTTTATCGGTGTTGAAATGTTTGGGGCATTACCATAGCATATTTCATGAATCTGTCTTGTTTGAGTGCAAATCTGTTTTCTTTTCGTACTTGGATGAATTATCTAATTAGCGGTAAAGATTTTGTTTGATGATTAGAAATTATAATTGCCCTGTTGCTCATAAATAGTTGAATATATAAGTTTTTGTTTCTTTTTAATTGAACATAACAATGGCCAGTTACTTATCTTTGAGATCTAAATTAAAGGTTCCTGGGTCCTTTGTGAATATATTCAAGGGATGGCAGAAGTTGGAGAGAGCTCGGGTGCAAAACCCTGTGAAGAATTCTGGGCCAAGCTCGTTCCATCATACTCGAGATATCCAGATGTTGAGATTAGTTCATATGAGATTGTAGCTTGCTCAGAGATCCTGGTCCTGAAAGTTGTCAGAAGAAGTTAAAGATTTCTATGGATGCCGAGCATGCAATATGCTGCATTTGCTTGAACATATGGCATGATGTAGTTACCGTTGCTCCTTGCTTCCATAATTTCTGTAACGGGTGCTTCTCGGAGTGGTTAAAGAGATCACAGGAGAAACGTTCAAGTGTACTCTGTCCCTAGTGTTGAGCAGTTGTACAGTTTGTTGGAAGAATCATTTGTTGCTTAACGTTGCGGATGAAATACTAAAAGCTGATTCTTCACTAAAGCGCACCAGTGATGAAGTGGCAATTTGAGACTCTTATGCAACAATACAATCTAATCTTGTTGTAAAAAGGGCTCGCTCCCAGGTGGATGAAGAAGCTGATAATCCATCAAATCCATGCCCTCAATCTGGTACTGAATATGGTGGGTTCTGCTGCAATCAAACCACTATCCATCTGCAATGTCAAGCATGCGGAGGAATGATGCCTTCGTGCACCAATAACAGTGTACCTCAACACTGTTTAGGATGTGATAAGGCATTTTGCGGTACATAATGGCATGCGCAAGGGGTTTCACAAAGTGATTCTCATCGTGTGTGCAGTCGCAAGACTTTTAAACCAATCTCAGAACGGACCATCTCTAGAATCCCTACTTCAACTCATGACAACAATCGACATGAACAAGTTATCACTGAGAAGTGTATTGCACAGTTGGGAGAACATTGGAGGATGTTATTGCACAATGGCTTGCAAAGTTGAACAACAGAGAAATTGATCGAACGAGGATGCCCCTGAATCATGCTGAAGCAATAACTTCTGGGTCACCTACGTGCAATTACTGTTATGAGAAGCTGATCTCCTTCCTCTTGTACTGGTTTCGGATTTCGATTCCCAAATATCATCTACCCACAGAGGCATCAGACAGGGAAAATTGCTGGTATGGATATGCATGTCGGACACAGCACCATAATGAAGAACATGCTTGTAAAGAAATCATGTGTGCCGGCCAACTAGGGGTTCTTATATGTAGATCTTCTCTCTTGTTTGCTCTGTTTTGAGAATTAGAAATTTATTACAAGCTTATCTTCTCTGGTACTACTGAGATTTTCTGGCAGCCGACATTTATGTATAAGAGTTGTTTGCTTTTGTTTGCTCATAAGTTTCGCGTACATATCATTGCACGACTTCAAACCTACACATGCGCAGCAACTTGAAAACTTTTGAAGCTCTATGCATCCCTAAGGGCATGATGAAATGGTAATCATTTGATAAGACATGATTAGTAGATAAGATCATCTTGCAGTACTAATTAAACAAATCGAATCTAGACTGCTTGAGATCGATTAGTAAACAACAGAGGGTTTTCGATACTCTGGTTGACAACATTCAAGCATGATCATAGATTCACAGTTCCATGGAAATGAAATCATCATCCATATTTTACAAACCAAACATTTGAATTCGAATTCTACAAAGTACCAAAATCTACCTCTCAATAGACATAATTTGGAAACAAACGTGAAAAAGGAAATTCGAAAACTAAAGCTCATAGACTTGTTGAAGCTCCTGTTTCACCGAAGACTAGTTCAATACAACAAACTGTCGTATAATATAACCACCGTAAGACACAATAAGAAAAGAGGAACAACTCCACTCCATTTAACCCATCAGTTTCTAGCCACAACAGAGGATATATATGCATATATTTATGAAGTGTATAATATAACCACCGAAGCCTTCTGAGATATGGTAGCTGTGCCAATGCTGGCATTGAAACAATGTGTTCACAATCCACAAGTCGAAGAGTAACAAGATGAGAGAAGGAACAAGTCATCTCCTAACCGATTTGGAATTTTTGTAGCTCCGTATCTTTCTCTCGCAAATACTTTCAAGTTTATATGGGACAAGAGTACCTGTAAAATTTGTTATTATGTGAACATTAACATTTGAAACATGTTTATGATTTAAAATTTACACAGCCAGATCGTAAATAAACATATAAACGCACGTTGATGAATTACGTACCATTGCAAATCATATCTCTCGGTCATCAATCACTACGTTGGGGATGTGAGAAATCTTGGCCCAATATTCTCCCGTGTCTCTCTGGCACCGTTGTGTTAGCAAATCACACTCGCGGATTTCTAGACCAAAAAGAGAAGTGGGTAGCCCTTCATCTGGCAAGCTCTGGAGTCGAGGACAAAAAAAAATGGTCAACTTCTTGAGAGAGATGATTTGTCTTAACGCCTTGCCGTCAATGGTTTTCAGATTCGGATGATGGGAGATTCCGAGAGAAGTGAGAGTGGTTGGCAGCAGCCCCTCTTCTGGAAATGATTCGACAGTTTCTTCTTCTTCACATTCTGAGAAGCTGACATCCAAGACTTTGAGAGAGGTGAGTGTTTGTAGACCCCACCGCATACGGTTTGCCATCAGTTTTTTACAACTCCCGATTCTGAGTGAACGCAATTTAGACGGCAATCCCCCTTCCGGAAATGATTCCAATTCTGGACAATCCCATATATTCAAAACTTCAAGGGATGGGAATTTAGATTCTTCCGCAAATGATTTAAATTCTTTACTCCCTTCTATGAACAGAGACTGAAGAGACGGGAGAGAGGCGTGCATCTCCTTTGGCAGTGACCTGAATTCTGGGCAATTCATTATAAACAAATGATTGAGGGATGGGAATTTAGATTCTTCCGGAAATGATTTAAATTCTTTACACCCTTCTATGGACAGAGACTGAAGAGACGGGAGAGACGGGAGAGAGGCTTGCATCTCCTCTGGCAGTGACCTGAATTCATTACATTCTTTGATTTCCATCGTCTGCAAGTTGGGCGCTTGCAGTCCTCCTCCATAGAGGAAACCCACAAATTCTGGGCATGCCATTATCTTCAAATCATAGAGGGATGGGAATTTAGATTCTTCCGGAAATGATTTAAATTCTTTACACCCTTCTATGGACAGAAACTGAAGAGACGGGAGAGAGGCGTGCATCTCCTCTGGCAGTGACCCGAATTTGTTACATTCATAGATTTCCATCATCTTCAAGTTGGGCGCTTGCAGTCCTCCATGGGGGAAACCCACAAATTCTGGGCACTTCTTTATCTTCAGACCAACGAGGGATGGGAATTTAGATTCTTCCGGAAATGATTTAAATTCTTTACACCCTTTTATGGACAGAGACTGAAGAGACGGGAGAGAGGCGTGCATCTCCTCTGGCACTGACCACAAGTTTTTAAAATGGCACATAGATATCCACTTCAAGTTGGGCGCAAGCAGCACTCCACCACCCACAAAACATACGAGATTCGGGCAATCTGATATTCTCAAGTCACGGAGGGATGGGAGTTCAATTTTGAATTTATTGCATTCTTGCGAATAAGCAAGGGATTCGATATTAACTTTCTGCAAAATTAGCCGCTCAAGTCTTGGGAAGTAGTATAACGGTAATTTCCCCGTTAGTTTGGGACAGTTCTCCAAACTAAGCTCGCAAAGATTAGGAAAATGTCCGCCTTCTTCTTCTTCACCTCCAGGGAAACACCACTCTTGCCATTCCCGCATATTGCGGAAACTCAGAAACTCCACAGATTTAAATGCAGGCCCATACAACTCAGACCCCACTGATTCCACTCCATTCAACCCATCAATTTCAAGCCATTTGAGGGACGTTAGTCGCCCCAATGCTGGCAGGGAGAAGCAATATCCACAATTCTGAAGTCGGAGAGTGATGAGATTAGAGAAAGACTCATCTCCTAACCAACCTGGAAACTTTATACCTCCGTATCCCTTTATAGCCAGTACCTTTAGATTTGTATTGGGCTGCAGGTTGCCCAGCACTCGGCTATCATTTTGAGAATCAGCAGTGTCACCTTCCCATTGCAAATGTATTTCACTGAGCTTCTTGTCCCTCAGTTTGGCCTCCAAAGCATCCTCAGCATGTTTGATATTTTGAAGCCCTGAAATATGAAGATTTCCACTCAAATGCTGAAACCCCTTTAACTCATCAATGTATCCCCCAGCATCTTTGCTCAAGACAAACTCACCTCCAAATGTTTGGAGATCCTTCAACTTGCCCATGTGGGGGGGCATCTTTTTTATTTTCGTACCTCTCAAATCAAGATGGCGCAAGTTGATAAGTCTTCTCAAATCGGTGGGCAACTCAGCTAGACATGTACAATTTGACAACAACAACGTTTGTAAATTACACAAACTGCATACCGTGTCCGGTAATTTCTGGATTGGAGTGTTACACAAGTCGAGGTACCGTAGATGCTTCAAGTTGCTAATCAAATCAGGCAACTCCGTGATATCATGCACACGTAGTTTGAGAACTCTTAAACACTGTAGCATTAAAATGAGATCAAGTCGTACTGTCGGCGAATAGAGAACGCCAAGAATGAAGGTGCGCAGATACTTAGCTTCATAAATAGTGCCAAATCTCTTATAATCAACATTAGATGAATATTGCAAATAAGAAAAATGACGACCCTTGCTCACAACGTCCAATGAGAAGTCGTGGTCTTCCAATCTAATGCAAAATTCCCCACACACGTATGTCGCCAAATCATGCATCAGATCATGCATGATGAAACAATCATTTGAAGACGAGTATTGAAAAAATGACCGTGAGATTAGATCATCAAAGTATTTCTTTCCAACATCTTCCAACATAGTCTTCTTTTGGGGTTGTAAAAGATCTTCGGCCATCCACAGCAAAATTAAATTTAGACTTGTTAAATTTATAATCTTTGGGAAATATGGAACAATAAGCAAAACAACGCCTCAGCTCCGGAGACAAGTACTGGTAGCTTAGCCATAGAGCCGGCAGAATGTCAATCTTTGCATCTGAGAACTCCCATATGTCACTTTTTAGCACATTTTCCCATTCCTCCACATTTGATTCAGAGCGTAAGAGACCACCGAGAGATTTTGCAGCTAAAGGAAGGCCTTTACACTTGCTAACAATTTGTCTTCCAATTTCCTCAAGATTTGGATCTACACTTGCATCTTTGAAGGCATGCTTGGAAAACAGAAACCAACAGTCTTCCTCAAGTAAGTGCTTTAAATAGTGGGTTTGAAGAGTACCCATCGTAGATGCAACGCCATCATTCCTTGCGGTGACAATGATCTTACTTCCATAAGCTCCAGACTCGAAGGGGCGCCTTAAGGAATCCCAAATATTGTAATTCTCGTTCCAAACATCATCAAGAACAAAAAGAAACTTCTTCCCCGCCAAAGCATCCTTGAGTTTGACTTGAAGTTGGTTTAGGTCTGTGGAATCACAGGTTTGTGAAGTGACTGATGCATAAATTGTTTGTGTGATCTTAACAATGTCAAATTCATCAGAAACACATACCCATGCTCGGGGCTCAAAACGCTGCTTCACTCTCTCATCATTGTATAAGAGCTGAGCAAGGGTGGTCTTTCCGATCCCACCCATGCCCACGATGGGAATGACGCCAATCTTATTACAAGTAACATCATCTGATAGCAACAATTGAATGATGATTTCCGTGTCATGATTTCTTCCATACACTTCAGAGCCTTCTACTAAAGAAGTTGAAGGCAATGTTTGTGAGCTTCTGTGACTACAACGTTCTTTCAAACCGAAAACATCCTTTTGTTTTGAAATGGAGCTTAGCCTCTCAAGAATTTCCTCTATCTTGGTGTCTACAGACTCATCAAAAGCATGGAAAGAAGCAGATATGAGGTCTTGTACCTTGCTTGTGCAACTTCCAAATTCTGCTTCAATTTTCCGCCTTAACGCTTCTGTCTTGATCTCGTCCAGTAGGTCCTCAGCACGTAAGACTGCCTCTTTAAGCTTATGCAGCCACTGCTTCACCCTTGGGTCACGTAATTGCTTTTGCTCGGCATCATAATAAACAGCATCGACAGACATCAACTCGATGCTCAACTTCTCCAGCAACCCATCAGTCAATTTCTTTCCTCTAATGAAGTTCTTGACCTCCTGAGAATCCAACTTCACAAATACTTGCTGGAAGAAACCTGAGAGAGCGGCTCCACCTACCACCTCCAACGCCATGATCGATCTCTTCTTTGCAAATGGAATTGAGTTTTGCTGGGAGAAGATAATCACAAATTAGCTAGCAATATCAATGTAACGAAAACCATGGTTAGTTTTCGCTACAAATAAACTAATTCAACCAAGAGTTATTGGATTGATATTAAACAAAGACTGACTTTATTATATCTAACACAAAAGTAAGATGCGTTTGGAGTCATTTCTCGTCGGCAGCCCAATCGGTCAAAGTGAATAGTAAGTTAGTAACGGCCTTTAGTGAACAGTAATTGTCCAAATGCATCTCCACCAAATATTTTTTTAATAAAATAATAAATAATTTTAATTTTTAATTTCAAATGACAATAAAAGATTGGTTAAAAAGTATTTGAAAATATTGAAATGTGATGTAAAGTGGAAAAATATGGCTAGCTATTTATAGAAAAAATTTATAACTTTTTGTATTTTTTGTATTTTTCTAATCAGGGCTAACATCAAAGTGGGCCAGTCAATTCGGACCTGGGGGAAAAGTGGGGGATCCAGGGGAGCCCAGGTTATTGGAATGGGCTGGAGCTGCCGTTTTTTTTTTTTCTTGGTAGGGGGATTCCAAAGCTCATCGCTCAGGGGACTTGGCTGGGCTGGAAGTGTTCTAAAAATAAATACAAATGAAACATAGGTCCCTTATGTTGAGGGTTTCAAAACCGTATAAAACATGTAAAATTTGTAAATATATTTACGACACGCAATACTATGTACATACATGGAATGTAGGAAGGAAATTATAGACCTTTTGTTTTGAATCAAGAAAAATACTAATTCTAAAATACAATTTCAAGAACCCTTACCAGGCAGTAGATCATCAAAAAGAACGCTAATTCTAAAGTACAATTTCAATTTCTCTCTATGTTAAAAAGCATGCAAGCAGAGAGAAAAGGCGTAGTTTCTATTACCTACGGAATTAGCTTGTAAAGACTTGCCCACTGTGTTCAGAATCAGTGTCCCTCCATTGTCAGCATCTTTAGAGAAATTTTCTGTAGATAATTACACTGTAAAAATAAATCCATGTTAAATTGGAAAGAGCTGCTATTCATAACGCAAACAGAGTTGAAACAAAGACGATCAAGTTATGTAAGTAATTAAAAATATATGAAAAAATACCGTCCAAACCGAAGAAAAATTCTACTTTTTAACAATTGAACTTAATATATGAAACCACCAATTTAGTCGCAAAAGAGCAACCATTAAACAAAACATCAACCGGAAAACCATTAAAACAAAAGGGCTGCTTGATGAAGTTTCTAATACATCCTTTTGCTTTATCTCTAAGCACAAATATGGAGTATAAGATGAAATAAATAGCATACTCTACAGCCGTACAACTCTGAAGTTAGACATCAACTTACATTTTCTGACAAATAGAAACTCAATGAATCATAGTTGTATTCCAACTTCAGAATTTAGACATCATTATGTTTGTCTTATTCTTTGACAAATAGAAAATGCTGATTCAATGAGATAAACATATGATTATTCTTGATTATGTTGCTAACGATCCCATTACATACTCTCATTTCTTTTTACAGTTTACAAACTCTCATTAATTTGTTACTTATACACACTCTAATTTCTTTTTAATCGTTTTATTGAGCAAATAAAAAATGAATCAAATGTTATCTAGTAACAAACTCATTGAATCATTTTCCTACAAGTGATCATTTCTCCTCTACGATGTTATTTAGTAAGAAACTCACTGAATCATGCAATAACAAAATCGTTAATTGTTATTAAACTTGTTTTCATCTCTCTTTGTAATCTCTAGTCACTATTTAAATCTAAGATTGATAAGATGAGATATCATAGTTTTAGATGTGCATTGCTTAGAATAATAATTTTCTTAGATCAACAAAATAGAATATACCCATAGAAGTTTAAAATATAGATTAGAAAAAAATTGAATGGATCTTATATAAAAAGAAATGGGTACATGTTATACTAAGAATGGATCTTATATTAAACTTGTTGGTTTTCAGCTTTTGATCTAGGTCTCTGACATTAATGAAATAATGTATTTATATGTAAGTTATTATATGCTTAAATTGAAAATTGAAATTTGTAGTTATAGTTGTTTATATTTATGAGATTTTAAATAAAACCCATAATTAGTGGAATTAAAAATATTAAATGATAAATTATACTCTCCAATATATTGTGTATATACATTCATAAATAATAGTAAAAAAATTATTGAACCAAAACATGGGTACATTTTCCAAAAGGACAAAATAACTTAAATTTTAATGAAAATGATACAATTTTAATATATATATATATATAAATTAAAAATAAAAAAGACCTAACACACAAGACCCGTGCATGCATGAAACCAAACACTGTATTAAATTGCAGTATCTGAACGGTACAATATTTATTAGTCCAATTTCATAAATAGTGTCCAAATCTTGATTATGTTTCATAAATAGTGTCTAGTTCTTGATCATGTTTAATAAATAAAGCCTAGTTATTGGGTCCAGTTTTATAAATAATGTATAGTAATTAGTATAATTTCATAAATAGTGCCTAGTTATTTGCCAACTTTCATAAATAATGCCTAGTTGATCTTGTTTCATAAATATTGTCTAATTCTTAGTCCAGTTTCGTAAATATTGTATAGTCCAGTTTCATAAATAATTTTCATCTATTGGTTTAGTTTATAAATAATGTCTAATTCTTGTTTTCGTTCATAAATAGTGTATACTTATTGGTTCAATTTCATAAATAGTGTCTGCTTATTGATTTAGTTTCATAAATAGTGTCTGCTTATTGGTCAACTTTTATAAATAGTGTTTACTTCTTGGTTCAGTTTCATAAGGTTTGAAACTTACTCTTTTTGGTCCTGTAAAAGCACTCATTGCGCCCAAAATGATGAACCCATAAATGATCCATTAGATCAAATCCTTGAGAAGATTATGTTCTCGAAAATTATATTTAAAAAGTTGTTTTCAATTACTAAATTAAAATTTCCTCACATTTTTTTACATACCTACAAAAATAAATGTAACTCTCCATCCAATTTTTTGAGCTTGAGTGTCATCTTGGAGAAACTTTACCTTGTGCCCATAACACAAGTGGCACACCACATGTTATTATGTAAGTAGTGAAAATTTTTATTTTTTGTGTAATTAATTTTTTAACACAAGAATCTCACAACTTGTATAGAGACACGTGGTGTACCACCCCGTGCTCCGGTCACATTGAAAAATTTCTCATCATCTTGACTATTATTGGGAAAAAAAACACCACAAATATAAAACTGGGGAATGTAATTTAGTTTGAACTCTTTTTCTTATTTTAGCAAAAATAAAATAAATAAATAAAATATTAATGTATCAAACAATAAAAAAAGTGGAGTGTGGAAGGGGGTTGGGGGACGCGCCCAGCGCAAGTTGGGTTTTTTATGTTTTTTTTTTAATTCTTTTGTCCTTATCATTAAATAAAGTTAGTAGATGATTTTTTATTAAAATGTAAAGATTTGATGCTTTTTTTCATTAGTTTTTCTTTAAGAAATATCAACTCAAGTAGAATTATTGCCATTTTTCCGACCCCAAGGAAAAGAAGAC